ACAAAAAATTCAATGAAATAAATAAATTCATTGGCTTTATCCAAAAGGACAAGATCAGGTTTGTTGGCTGGAATTCTTCTGAGGCTGTATATGGGCCTATTCCACAAAAGTTTGAAAGCATCATTTTCCATGACGCCCTGAACATGTTCAGGGTCGTACCATGGATGGACCTGGGAGTCAAAGCCACAAGCATGGCGGAGACGGTAGTAAAAGCAGCGAGCCATGCCATAGTGTTGTTTAAGATATGCTGTATGTGCCAAGGAAGGGCATCCACTGACAAGGTGTTGGACAGTCTCTGTAATTTCATTACATAGTCGACATTTCATATTGATGTTTTCTTTAAGAATCATATTTTGGCGATTGCGAGTTATTATTATAATTATTATTATTATTTTATTTTCTTTCTTCCATGGGAAGCAGTCACTTTCTGAATAACCACAATTACTATTTCATTTTTAGTCTTCGCATATTGTTATATGATAATGTAATACATGATACGAACAATGTTGTAATTGTATTTCACAGTTTGCATTCACTTCCAGTCCCATTGCTGACGGCTGTGTGCCAGCTGCTAGATCTTGACTTGGGGTCAAGAATAATGTTGAAGCTTCTAGAGCAGCCGGAATAACCAACCCGATCTCACATTACATCACAACCATCTGTCCGTGAAGAGTGTTACTTTCACTCTGTGACCCTTGTAGATCCGTGTTAGAATTGATCTTCAGTAACCCCTGCTTACGGGATAGGAGGCGACTAACGGGACCGGGTTATCAGGCTCGCTGACTTGGTTGACACATGTCATCGTATCCCAATTGCGTAGAACGATGCTCCTTCTATTGATCACTGGATTGTCTGGGAATCCACAGTCAATTATTTACAGATCGCCGCCATATAGCTGGAATATTGCTGAGAGCGAAGAATGTTATCTTCATTCTGTATATCCAGCCTTGGCCTGCATCGTAAGCTTGACCATCTGTCCGTGAAGAGTGTTATCTTCATTCTGTATATCCAGCCTTGGCCTGTATCGTAAGCTGGACCATCTGTCCGCGAAGAGTGTTATCTTCATTCGGTATATCCAGCCTTGGCCTGTATCGTAAGCTGGACCATCTGTCCGTGAAGAGTGTTATCTTCATTCTGTATATCCAGCCTTGGTCTGTATCGTGTTGTTGACCATCTGTCCGTGAAGAGTGTTATCTTCACTCTGTATATCCAGCCTTGGCCTGTATCGTAAGCGGGACCATCTGTCCGCGAAGAGTGTTATCTTCATTCTGTATATCCAGCCTTGTCCTGTATCGTAAGCGGGACCATCTGTCCGCGAAGAGTGTTATCTTCATTCTGTATATCCAGCCTTGGCCTGTATCGCAAGCGGGACCATCTGTCCGTGAAGAGTGTTATCTTCACTCTGTATATCCAGCCTTGGCCTGTATCGTAAGCTGGACCATCTGTCCGTGAAGAGTGTTATCTTCACTCTGTATATCCAGCCTTGGCCTGTATCGTAAGCTGGACCATCTGTCCGCGAAGAGTGTTATCTGCACTCTGTATATCCAGCCTTGGTCTGTATCGTAAGCGGGACCATCTGTCCGCGAAGAGTGTTATCTTCATTCTGTATACCCAGCCTTGGCCTGTATCGTATGCTGGACCATCTGTCCGTGAAGAGTGTTATCTTCATTCTGTATACCCAGCCCTGGCCTGTATCGTAAGCTGGACCATCTGTGCGTGAAGAGTGTTATCTTTATTCGGTATATCCAGCCTTGGCCTGTATCGTATGCGGGACCATCTGTCCGTGAAGAGTGTTATCTTCACTCTGTGTATCCAGCCTTGGCCTGTATCGTAAGCGGGACCATCTGTCCGCGAAGAGTGTTATCTTCATTCTGTATATCCAGCCTTGGCCTGTATCGTAAGCTGGACCATCTGTCCGCGAAGAGTGTTATCCTCATTCTGTATATCCAGCCTTAACCTGTATCGTATGCTGGACCATCTGTCCGCGAAGAGTGTTATCTTCATTCGGTATATCCAGCCTTGGTCTGTATCGTAAGTTGGACCATCTGTCCGTGAAGAGTGTTATCTTCACTCTGTATATCCAGCCTTGGCCTGTATCGTAAGCGGGACCATCTGTCCGCGAAGAGTGTTATCTTCATTCGGTATATCCAGCCTTGACCTGTATCGTAAGCTGGACCATCTGTCCGTGAAGAGTGTTATCTTCATTCTGTATATCCAGCCTTGGTCTGTATCGTAAGCTGGACCATCTGTCCGTGAAGAGTGTTATCTTCACTCTGTATATCCAGCCTTGGCCTGTATCGTAAGCGGGACCATCTGTCCGCGAAGAGTGTTATCTTCATTCTGTATATCCAGCCTTGTCCTGTATCGTAAGCGGGACCATCTGTCCGCGAAGAGTGTTATCTTCATTCTGTATATCCAGCCTTGGCCTGTATCGCAAGCGGGACCATCTGTCCGTGAAGAGTGTTATCTTCACTCTGTATATCCAGCCTTGGCCTGTATCGTAAGCTGGACCATCTGTCCGTGAAGAGTGTTATCTTCACTCTGTATATCCAGCCTTGGCCTGTATCGTAAGCTGGACCATCTGTCCGCGAAGAGTGTTATCTGCACTCTGTATATCCAGCCTTGGTCTGTATCGTAAGCGGGACCATCTGTCCGCGAAGAGTGTTATCTTCATTCTGAATACCCAGCCTTGGCCTGTATCGTATGCTGGACCATCTGTCCGTGAAGAGTGTTATCTTCATTCTGTATACCCAGCCCTGGCCTGTATCGTAAGCTGGACCATCTGTGCGTGAAGAGTGTTATCTTTATTCGGTATACCCAGCCTTGGCCTGTATCGTATGCTGGACCATCTGTCCGTGAAGAGTGTTATCTTCATTCTGTATACCCAGCCCTGGCCTGTATCGTAAGCTGGACCATCTGTGCGTGAAGAGTGTTATCTTTATTCGGTATATCCAGCCTTGGCCTGTATCGTATGCGGGACCATCTGTCCGTGAAGAGTGTTATCTTCACTCTGTGTATCCAGCCTTGGCCTGTATCGTAAGCGGGACCATCTGTCCGCGAAGAGTGTTATCTTCATTCTGTATATCCAGCCTTGGCCTGTATCGTAAGCTGGACCATCTGTCCGCGAAGAGTGTTATCCTCATTCTGTATATCCAGCCTTAACCTGTATCGTATGCTGGACCATCTGTCCGTGAAGAGTGTTATCTTCATTCGGTATATCCAGCCTTGGTCTGTATCGTAAGCTGGACCATCTGTCCGTGAAGAGTGTTATCTTCACTCTGTATATCCAGCCTTGGCCTGTATCGTAAGCGGGACCATCTGTCCGCGAAGAGTGTTATCTTCATTCGGTATATCCAGCCTTGACCTGTATCGTAAGCTGGACCATCTGTCCGTGAAGAGTGTTATCTTCATTCTGTATATCCAGCCTTGGTCTGTATCGTAAGCTGGACCATCTGTCCGTGAAGAGTGTTATCTTCACTCTGTATATCCAGCCTTGGCCTGTATCGTAAGCGGGACCATCTGTCCGCGAAGAGTGTTATCTTCATTCTGTATATCCAGCCTTGTCCTGTATCGTAAGCGGGACCATCTGTCCGCGAAGAGTGTTATCTTCATTCTGTATATCCAGCCTTGGCCTGTATCGCAAGCGGGACCATCTGTCCGTGAAGAGTGTTATCTTCACTCTGTATATCCAGCCTTGGCCTGTATCGTAAGTTGGACCATCTGTCCGTGAAGAGTGTTATCTTCACTCTGTATATCCAGCCTTGGCCTGTATCGTAAGCTGGACCATCTGTCCGCGAAGAGTGTTATCTGCACTCTGTATATCCAGCCTTGGTCTGTATCGTAAGCGGGACCATCTGTCCGCGAAGAGTGTTATCTTCATTCTGAATACCCAGCCTTGGCCTGTATCGTATGCTGGACCATCTGTCCGTGAAGAGTGTTATCTTCATTCTGTATACCCAGCCCTGGCCTGTATCGTAAGCTGGACCATCTGTGCGTGAAGAGTGTTATCTTTATTCGGTATATCCAGCCTTGGCCTGTATCGTATGCGGGACCATCTGTCCGTGAAGAGTGTTATCTTCACTCTGTGTATCCAGCCTTGGCCTGTATCGTAAGCGGGACCATCTGTCCGCGAAGAGTGTTATCTTCATTCTGTATATCCAGCCTTGGCCTGTATCGTAAGCTGGACCATCTGTCCGCGAAGAGTGTTATCCTCATTCTGTATATCCAGCCTTAACCTGTATCGTATGCTGGACCATCTGTCCGCGAAGAGTGTTATCTTCATTCGGTATATCCAGCCTTGGTCTGTATCGTAAGCTGGACCATCTGTCCGTGAAGAGTGTTATCTTCATTCTGTATACCCAGCCCTGGCCTGTATCGTAAGCGGGACCGTCTGTCCGCGAAGAGTGTTATCTTCATTCTGTATATCCAGCCTTGGCCTTTATCGTACCCTTGATTATTGTTGCTACTTATGAATATTATTATTGTTAGCTTGCCTGCCATAACCACCGGCATTGCAATTGCTCTGCCATTAAATTGTGTTCCACCGTTTTCCAGTAATATGTATTTAGTTTTAAACGCTGACTTGGTTGGCATCGTTTTGAGGGGCGGTGGGGTAGGCTAGTGGTTAAAAGTGGACGTTCGCTCGTCACGCCGAAGCCCCGGGTTCGATTTCTCGCATGCGTACAATGTGTGAAGCCCGTTTCTGATGTCCCCCGCCGTGATATTGCTGAAATATTGCTAAAAGTGGCGTAAAACCATACTCGCCCCCAATTGCGCAGATTTATACTCAAGATGTTGATAACTGGATTGTCTGGTCCAGACCCGATTATGTACAGAAAGTCGCCTATTCTATTCCATATCTAGACTATTCGACTTTAAACAACAATAAATGAATCAATTATTTGTAAAGATATGAGGTTGCATATCACAACTAATTAAGGTACTATTACAATTGTTTTAGGTACAGATTTCTTGTTTATTTTCAAAATGTATTGACTTACCTTTGGAACAAACAGTAATATGATGTTCATCGTTGTACCAAACAGTACAAAACCAGAGTGCAGGGCATAGAGAACTTGTACCTGGTTTTCAAGCACAAATGAGAAAACCAGTGATATGATGCTGAAGACGAATGTGTTGTAGATGCACTGGCCGATGGAACGGGAGTCATTTAGGTCTTCAATCTGTACCTGAAATGATAAAACGGATACACCACGTATCACATCCATATATAATTGTTATCCAAATAAACCGCGAGGGTTGGGGTGGGGGTGCTGTACATGCGAAATAGAGGGATCGCCAAGTGGTTGAAGCGTTGGCTCGTCACGACGAATACCCGGGTTTCTATTTCCCACATGGGTACAATGTGTGAAGCCCATTTCTGGTGTGGCCCCGCCGTGGTGTTGCTGGAATATTGCTAAAAGCGGCGTAAAACCATATTTACTCATTCTCTTTAGCAACCCATTTTATTGAGGATTGGAGTGTGGAGGTACATCCGTAATAGAATTGGTCTTTAGCAATTTTTGCTATTTGACCCGCTGACTTAATTGATGCATGCCATCGTATCCAAACTGCGCAGGCTGAGGATCATGTTGTCACTAGGTTGTCTGGTCCGCACGAGTCTTTTACAGGCCACCGCATACAGCTAGGCTTTTCAAAGTACGGTGTTTAACCACAAGCAATCCAAATTCACACGAGGTCGTTTATCCACGATGCGCATGTTCGTGTTTGCTTAACGCGGCATTCGGTAACATTCCATTAATATTGCGGAAAATAATTGATTCCCGTCCAGACATTCCAGTGAATGGTATTACGCGCAACGATTCATGATGTCAAGATCTAATGTGAAGCAATTGACCAAGTCACAGAGTTTATATAAGAATTGGTTGCTGGGGTCCCCGGGAATATACGTTGTGCATGGCATCTATACATCTGGAATAAGGTTACCCGGGTAAGAATTGGTCCTAGCTTTTGGGTTGGTTGGCTTGTTGTTTAACGCCGCATCCAGCAATATTCCAGCTGTATGGCGGCGGTCTGTAAATAATCGAGTCAGGATCAGACAATTCAGTGATCAACAGCATGAGCATCAATGTACGCAATTGGGATATGACGACATGTGTCAACCAAGTCGAGGCGGTGGAGTAGCCTAATGGTTAAAGCGTTGGCTCGTCACTCCAAAGACCCGGGTTCGAATCCCCACATTTGTATAATGTGTGAAGCCCAATGCTGGTGTCCCCCGCCGTGATGTTGCTGGAATATTGCTAAAAGCGGCGTAAAAAAACAACCAAACTCAACCAAGTCAGCGTGCCTCACCACGTGATCCCGTTAGTCGCCTCTTACAACATCCCAGTGTCACATCTATGTGTCGCAACCCGCCTCGAGTTAACCTACGTTCCGACGATTGTCATTATCAAAAACCCCCATTTAATTATAACTAGCAATACCTCTGTTCACTGTGCGCTACAATATCATAACCTAGGGAATCGTCCTTTCTACAAAACAGCCTTTCGAAACCTGGATTTAGTCTCTCTCACAGTCCCTGAACCGCATTATATCCCTTCTGTCTAGCGCTTTCTGCAATGATAAGTGAAACAAGTCTTGATTTCCTCAGGTTCTATCTCCCATCTCACGGGGCCTCCTTTTCAATTAAAAGGTTTTTTTCTATCAAAATTATATTTATTCAGAGAATAACCGTTCGTCTAACCTTAACCTAAAAGACAAAAGTTAATTAATTAAGTTTCCCTCAGCCTGAAGTTACGCCCGTTTCACAAAGCATCTTTTACTCGATTTAGCTCGTGTCAAACTCTGCTTAAAGGTTATTCTGTGAACCTTTTTCTTGATCTTGTGCACATAAATTGTATTCGGCTCCCGGTGAAGTGTTCAACTTCCAGCTGGAAGGTTTATGATAACAATGGTTTTACCAAAAGGAGACAGGTATTTTAGAGTGGACTGGACCCAAAAGAAACTCCGAGGGCCCCAGCTGCCAACAGGTCACCCATGTTCGCGGGGCTGTAGGGTAGACTCCAAGTGGTTAAAGCGTTCGCTCGTCACACCGAATTATTACTTATTGTAGTTATTATACTTCGACGACAGAGTTGTATACTGTTGATATATATTTGTCATTGATGTATGGCTTCCTCTCATCACGATATGGCAGAAATACTGCCGATGTGACGATACATCTAAACTCACTCACTCACTCACTGACGCCGAAGACTCGGGTTCGATTCACCTCATGGGTGCAATGTGTGAACCCCATTTCTGCTATCCCCCGTTGTGATATTGCTGGAATATTGCTAAAAGCGGCATACAACCAGACTCACTCACTCTAACCAGATGGATTGATTTAATTCTGATTCCAGTTGACTCCAAAAGCGTTACATTATATAGTAATTTCTACACTCCTAAAATCGGCGTTAAACTGAACTCACTCACTCATTTACCCAGCTTCACGATCAAAGCTTCTCGACATTTTATTTACTTGACGTGTTTGGTGACTTGTATGCAGTTCCCAGGATCACGCAGCACCGGGAAATAAAGTGATATTTTCCAGAAGCCCGACATGAAACCAGCAGTTGCTGGGATCTGATTGATGGTGTAGTTTTGGAAGAGAGACACTGTGATTAAAGACGTAACATGTTTGTGTGTATGCATGTTATTAAAATCCTCAAGGGGAAAGTATCTACCACAAGAACACACTTGCAAGGGTGAAAACGTTCACTGTTCCATGATCACGTGTTTCAAACATATCAGTTTTCAGAAAACCTATTAGCAAGCAAGGAATCAATAATTTTCAGTGTGTGAAGAACGGGTTATCTGTTCATCGCGCTAAACCCATAATAATACTGTTGGGGAACTGAGCGTGTTATCTAAATGAGTTGATGAAATGCTTTGCGACGCCCTCGCAAATCCGACAGGTCATGATCAGAATAAGGCGTTTCTTCAGTGTTAAATTATAAAAATGTTTCTGCATAAAATAGCTGCGAGGTTTCTCCAAACGACGACGTTGAGTTGAATCCGTGGCATCTGTTATATATCAGCGATTACATTAACTTGGCTGAGAGTTGGAAGTGGTTACATGGGTTTAGTCTCATGCCACTGAAATAACGAATTGCGCGTGAGTGTGCGTGTACGTGCGCGTAGGTGCCAGTCCGAGCGCATTATTGTGCTTGTCGTCCTGACGTACCACATGCTTGTTTTACCCTCTAATTGTAATCACCAGGAAGTTCAACTATTTAACGTCTTTTGGTATGACGCCGACCTTCTATTCTTCGTACAGCCACTCTGTCCTCTTGCCCAATGCCTACTTCAGATTCTTCCACAACCAACATCTACTTGTCCTTTGTGTGAGCAATAACTTATACGCTCACTATTAAGCCTTCCTAGACATGTCTCAGTCACTTAGTGTTACGCCGCTTTCAGTTCATTTCGAGCACTGACCCGGCTGCAAATACGACACCAGACGTTTGCTTCATTGTACTCATGTGAAAAATCTAACCAAGCGTAATGAGGGAACGGTTTAAGAAACCCCAACAGCATGAGCACGGGATGGCCTTGCATTGTCCTCCATGAAGACTGACCTTGTGTTCAAAGGATGGTCATCGAATTGTGGTACAACAACCATGTCTAGGATGCCAGTGATGTGTCGCTGTGCATCAGTTCAGATTTCAATGATGACAGGGCCAAGTTTACAGTCATGTGAGAGGCACCCAACACGAACTCGACCATGAGCCATGAACAAAAGAAATCGACTTTTGGCCAAATAGTTTGCCCTTCCTCATGATTCCAGTGACGTCAAGCTTGACACCAAGCTGCTTGTTTGTGTTCTGGGGAAAGCTATGGACGTCTGAAGGTTCCTCTGGCTCTATACCAGGCAGACTTGGGGCGATTTCGGACCGACCTGTTGCACAAACGACGATGTGGAAGCCACTCTATGTTAGCCAGGCCTCCTGACATGAACAGATGAAGTCATGTGATTTTAAGGAGGATTGTCACTCGTGGTCGAACTCAACGCCGAGTGTATAGGGCCTGTAAGCCACGTCCTGTACTAAGGTGGTTCCCGGCTCCCTTTGCGCGCACCAAATTGTGATATGCGAGACGGGACACAGCTTACTTACGGTACCTGATTTCCGGTGACAGGCGTATATTCAAGAATAAGTTCTGGTTCCAAATTGCGCGACCGCCACATATGACTTCACTAGACCGGACCAAGTGTACAACCATGCTTGGCTGTCACATTTGTTGACAGTCGTAATAGTTGGCTAATTCGAGGATGATTGACTCGGAAATTTGTTATTCCTGCAAGGATTATCGGTTCCTTCCTGTCAACCATGAGACCATTCGAAAACGTTAGTTTGTCACTGGAAGTACTAAGGTTTCGTGAAGTACGTGACCTACGTACGGGCCCCTTTTAATCATTACTTTGCTCGTGTGTTCTGGTCAATCGCCTGAAAGCCGTTATCCCTTGCCGTATGACTCAATGATATTACAGCATTCCGCATGGCAACAACTCGTCATCTTTGAGCAATGGTTAGTTGAGAAGGCCCATATTTACTTATCAAGAACGAAATCAACCGATCTTCAAGTTACCGAGTGAGCAGTATGGTTTGACACCACTTTTAGCAAGATTCCAGCACTATCAAGGCGGGGGACACCAAAAAAATGGGCTTCACACATTGTACTCATGTGATGAATCGAACCCGGGTCTTCGGCGTAACAAGCCAACACCTAAACTACTAGGCTACCCCAACGCCCCTCGATCCGTAAGACCACTTAATTAAAAATGATGTTAGTCGACGGGTACACGTATTGCACGCCTTTGATCAAACTTAATGTGTTGTCCCCACGAAATGTAAAAATCACCAAACAAACAAACGTATTTATGATATGAATATAAATGGCTAATTGCGGGTAAAATTCATAGGTTTTGCTATAGTATTTTCCATTTGTATGTTTAGATACGCTATTGTTTAGATTTTTATCCGAATGTTTCAATATTTTGAGGCTCAATGCATATTACATCATTTAACATTCTTTCAAGTGTGGGTAAGTAAGCTAGAAAAGTAGTGAAAAAAATCTGCTTAATGATGAAGTCTCCATCTCACTTTTTAGCTAACAAAATAATGACCATCTAGATTTTTTTAACCTTTCTGTGATGTCTATTTAAAACACACCTGATCAAGCATATAAACAAAGCCATTTTGCATGACGTTAATCAGATTTTCAAGAAGTACTATTTTGGGAGACCAAGCTCTTCTTATTTTAGAAAAAACATTTAAAAAGTTTTCTTTTTGAACGCTGCATTAACGAATAAGGACAAAAATGGATCTTTGAGGATGTTGTTGCTTTTTTGAAAGAGAGAGGATATATAAGGTGGAATTAGCGCAGCTTGGAAGTAAGTCAGAACGTGTCAGTTGAATGCTCCCGAAGTCTCTGTTTGACCCTTCTGCTGGAAGCTGACAAAAACTCCCCCACCATAAAACAAAGCGTTTGAGCGTCACCGTGACGTTGATCAGTTTAGGCGAACCTGTTTTCTTAGATGTATAAACGAAAAACGGTCGCTTATTTGAGATTTTGAACAATTCAAACTTACTCGTTGAGACTATCCCTTGTAATAATATCTCTAAAGATCAACGTTTATGTACACTTTGTAATTATCCAACAGTTGCCATTATGGAACTTTTGTTAATAAAATATTGTCACTTGTAGCTGGAAAATACAGTGTTTGGCCTAATGTACATTCATTTAAATGCCTGATAAGAAATTGAGAGCGCTTTTAGCAATATTCCTGCAATATCACGGCGGGAAACACCAGAAATGGCCTTCACACATTGTGCCCATTTGGGGAATCGAACCCGGGTATTCGGCGTGACGAGCGAAAGTACCTAGACTATTTAATGCCAACGAAACACAAATCTACACAGCCATACTGACGCACATATATTATTTATTTCCACTTTGACTTGCTCTTTTTTCATCTTCCATGGTTTTTCATTGAGTACTAGGGCGGTGAGTTAGCCTTCTGGTATAAGCGTTCGCTCGTCACGCCGAAAACCCGGGTTCGATTCCTCAAATGGGTCCTCCGTCGTGATATTGCTCGATTATTGCTAAACGCGGCGTAAACTAAACTCACTTTTTCATTCATGGAGTACTAAAATAGATCTGAATCTGAGAGTTGACTTACTTTCCTAGTTTCCCAAGCCAGGAATGTACCGATGAGGAGCATGACGCCGTGGATGATGTACAGCGCTGCACTGAAGTACTGGTGGTAGTCGGACACGCACACGTCCACCTGGTACTGCAGCAGTATGTCCTCCGCCTCGTTCAACTGGTGGATAGACAGATTCGTTAGTCTCACGTTGAGTGAGTGAGTGAGTCAATGTTCTGTTTTGTTCTTTATATAAGGGGATGCCCCTGCTCTATAACGTCAGTCTGTACATAATGGAGTCTGGACCAGAATATCATGTGACTGACATCATGAGAACTAATGTACTGGCATGCTTTTTGTTTGTTGTCAAACACCGCACTAAGCAATATTCCAGCTCTATAACGGCGGTCTGTAAATAATCGAGTGAGTGAAAATTTCACCGGCGTTATGGCAGCCATATAAACATGAGAAGTAAGTATATCCATAATAGAGTCATCAATATCCCCCGTAATTGTAAAATACTCTTCATGAATATGTCAACTAGTTATGACTATGTCAAATGTTACATTGTTCTTCACATCGATGTAACGAAAACGTATATATGTAAACTATTCATATACGAGCATGCTTGTATTAACAACAGACTGCCCGAGTGCGCCTACCGTTTGATGTCCCTCTGTAGTATTGATACTGGAAATAGAGTGGTACTGTTGTCTTATTTCACTAGGTTCTGGAAGGGGAAGGGGAGTATTGAAGTTTTACAGTACGGCTCCAAAAAAAGAACACTACCACCAATTTCAGTCGAAGTCAAACATGTTGCCATGGAAACGCAAAAAATAAATTGGTCAGAAATTTAAAACCACCTAAAGGCACCAGTTCACCACCAGACCTATCTATATGCCAAGTTTGATGAAGAACCGTCAGGAACCGATTCCTCAAATGTAGAATTTGTAGATATCGATCTTCCTGGGGGTAGTGACCTTGGTCGGGCAACAGTCCTGCCAGTCTCATTGAAAAGTTTAATAAGTCTATTGATAGTATGTCTGTGACAACCAAACGTTCTTCCGACATGGACATGAGAAGCTCCCATGTTTAACATTCCTATGACTCTTTCACGCTGTTCTGAAGTAAGTCAAGGCATATCTAAAGTGTTTTCCTGTTTAACAACGTCTGTGTTATACCAACGGTCGTTAAATGCCCCTTTTCTTCTTATGTAGTGTCGCTTTTATCCTTAAAAACCCGTATTTCACCATTTGAACAAATTTCACGATTTTTTATTTCGAAGTCAATTTTTCCAAATGGCAAGATTATTGGTGTGTTTTGGCGAATGTTAAACATTAGAAAATATATTTCAACAATTTTGAATCAATTTCATACATCAAAAATAAATAAACTTTCTAAATGGCATTGTGTAATCATGTAATCATTTATTGAATTATTTAAATACTCACTCAATCTACACCGAAACGTCCTATGTATTGCACTAAATAAGTTGTCTATTCTTAAACAGTGTGACTCTTTATAAACCACGATAAACCAAAGCTGGGCCATCTCGCTGGGGATCATTCAGACTTACAGTGCTTCATCTTTCAGGGTGTCGTTGTTCAAAGCGATCTTAGAGCTAAGGTGATCGCAATTCCCATATCTTAACATAGGCTTACGGCTGTCGTAGCACTAAGGCTGTTTTGTACAACGGCACCTGTGGGATAAATCAGCATGCTTGACGTCATCACTTAATGTTCTGTTGGTTTGGCTCAATACTATCCGATTTAAAATCTATATTCAGCCACGAGTTGGATTAAAACAGTGGGAGATGATAGCTGCATCAATTATGATTAAGAAACACTTGTCACATATGACGATAACAATTTGATGTCCTGGGCAGGTCTACCCTTTCAGTAATCTCCATATCAAACTGACAAACAAACAGTTTGACATTCCTATGTTAAATACATTTAAAGTGATATGAACATAAAATGTGTGTCAGTCCGAATTATGACTGTTTGGGAATCAGATTTAAACACGTGATTTTAAGTTAAAAAGATGAAGTTGATACGCTGAGATTAACTTTTTGCATGATCTTCAGTAACCCATGTTTGTCGTAAAGGCGACTTGTGGGATCGGATGGTCAGGCTCTCTGACTTGGGTAACACATGTCATCAATCCCAATTGCGTATATCGATGCTCATACTGTTGATCACTGGATTGTCTGGTCCAGACTCAATTATTGCAGACCGCCGCCATATAGCTGGCATATTCGTGAGTGCGGGGTTAAACAACAAACCAACCGATCAATCACTGATCTGTCTAGTCGAGATTCGATTAGTTAGAGGCCGGAATATTGCTGACGGAGACGTGAAGCAAGATCGTTCAATCAGACGTTCAAACTCACTTTACATGATTCTTCTTACAGCTAATTTAATGATCGCCTCATCCAAACTAGATGAACGTATATGCTTGAAGCTAAGATCGATCTGAAAGTCGACACTCCCTCGGTGGTGAACCACGAACACGTCAAACTGACAAGTCACAAACATCAACTATGTTTGATGTCAAAAGACCAATGTTTCGCCCGTTAGTTTTTAATCAAAATTGAGCAAATTGCCGTAGATAACATCCCATGTCAGAGGTCCAGAACCCCTCATTATTGTGATCAAAGAATGTTATTCACAGCAATGTGAACATTAAAACAGCCTTGTTTACCTAAACCAGCATAAATCTCCAAATCGATATAAAAGTCCGTTTTCGCGCAAAGAAATGATGGTAATTGTTCGTAATAGGGAGCTCTGTGAGTATTATATATGAGATGGCATATGTGCAACTTGTTCCACGAAACGTCTCCGTGATTCTTTCCAAATGGTTAGGTAATTGGGGTTTTATGCATTTATGCCTGTCTTTTTATATGTAATTTTGAACCCGATTCAGTGCCACAGTAGCACTGATATATTCTGTGGATTTCAACTGACTGTTAAAGGCGGAGACATCCTTGTTGTTTAAATCCTTGCTACGGATATTCCAGCCACATGACGGTTTGTATATAATCGAGTCTGAACCAAAGAATCCGGTGACGGACACGATATGCATCAATTTATGCACTTTGGATACGATGACATGCATCAACCAGTCCGTTAGTCTGACTACCTGATGCTGTTAGTCGCCTCTTGCAGTAGGCATAGTTCAGTCGCTGAAAACTAATTCTCAACTGCATCTTTACTGGGTTCGGAAACAGAAGCCTACCAGTGTTCATCGATTATAGCGTATTTTTTGCATTTGGACGTATTTTTCTTTTCTGTAAAATGTGCCAACAGTAACTCCGATAGATGGATACTAGGTGTACACGAAGGTCATCCCTCATCCGTGAATACATCGTCAATACTACATGGTCTACACTACCTCCCTCAGCACTCGTGAATGCATAGTCAATACTTGACGGGTTGGTCTACACTACCTTCCCCCATCACTTGTGAATACATCGTCAATCCCTGACGGGTTGGTCTACACTACCTTCCCCCATCACTTGTGAATACATCGTCAATACTTGACGGGTTGGTCTACACTACCTTCCCCATCACTTGTGAATACATCGTCAATACCTGACGGGTTGGTTTACACTACCTTCCCCATAACTTGCGAATACATAGTCAATGCATGACGGGTTGGTCTACACTACCTTCCCCCATCACTCAGGAATACATCGTTAATCCCTGACGGGTTGGTCTACACTACCTTTCCCCATCACTTGTGAATACATCGTCAATTCCTGACGGGTTGGTCTACACTACCTTCCCCCATCACTTGTGAATGCATAGTCAATACTTGACGGGTTGGTCTACACTACCTTCCCCCATCACTCAGGAATACATCGTCAATCCCTGACGGGTTGGTCTACACTACCTTCCCCCATCACTTGTGAATACATAGTCAATACTTGACGGGTTGGTCTACACTACCTTCCCCATCACTTGTGAATACATCGTCAATACCTGACGGGTTGGTTTACACTACCTTCCCCATAACTTGTGAATACATCGTCAATGCATGACGGGTTGGTCTACACTACCTTCCCCCATCACTCAGGAATACATCGTTAATCCCTGACGGGTTGGTCTACACTACCTTTCCCCATCACTTGTGAATACATCGTCAATTCCTGACGGGTTGGTCTACACTACCTTCCCCCATCACTTGTGAATGCATTGTCAATACTTGACGGGTTGGTCTACACTACCTTCCCCATCACTTGTGAATACATCGTCAATGCATGACGGGTTGGTCTACACTACCTTCCCCCATCACTCAGGAATACATCGTCAGTCCCTGACGGGTTGGTCTACACTACCTTCCCCCATCACTTGTGAATACATAGTCAACACTTGACGGGTTGGTCTACACTACCTTCCCCATCACTTGTGAATACATCGTCAATACCTGACGGGTTGGTTTACACTACCTTCCCCATAACTTGCGAATACATCGTCAATGCATGACGGGTTGGTCTACACTACCTTCCCCCATCACTCAGGAATACATCGTTAATCCCTGACGGGTTGGTCTACACTACCTTTCCCCATCACTTGTGAATACATCGTCAATGCCTGACGGGTTGGTCTACACTACCTTCCCCATCACTTGTGAATACATCGTCAATACCTGACGGGTTGGTTTACACTACCTTCCCCATAACTTGCGAATACATCGTCAATACCTGACGGGTTGGTCTACACTACCTTCCCCCATCACTTGTGAATACGTCGTCAATACTTGACGGGTTTGTCTACCCTACCTTCCCCCATCACTCGAAAATACATCGCCAATACTTGACGGGATGTTGTACTCCATATTTCCCTATCACTCGTGAATACATCGCCAATACTTGACAAGTTGGTGTAGATTAAATTCCTTTATCTCTCGGGAATACATCGTCAATATTTGTGTTGGTGTACACTACCTTCCTCCGTTACTCGTTAATACATCGTTAATTCATCATTCGAGCATTTAATGAAATATTTTATTGTTTTATATCTTTTCCTTCATTATATCTCGCTGTTCACTAAAATGAGAGAACATTGATCAAATAATTTAATAGTGCCCGTCAAGCAGGTTTTCGTCAGATTCTGTAAAATCAATACCCCAGTCAGGAATGTACTTCGATTCATGTTCAACTCTGAAATTAAACACTCTTCTCGGTTTTATCAGTAGTTTCTAAATAATATCCGAAGGCCTAGGCCAATTGTGTCTCAAACTGGAAACAAACTTAAAGTTACACGTTGGCGTCAACCAAGTAATAACACTTAACATTTGGAAATAGTTCCGAATAAACTCCGAAATCCTTTAATAAACGGAGAGTGCTCAGTCCAATTTGGCTAAAACGGATGGCAGCCGTGGTCTTTTTAAACTGGATGTAAGTAGGGATGGTTCCATCAAACAGTATGATTGTTACTGATGGGTTGCAATTTCATGCACAGCCACATCCGATATGCGACATCCTCAATACTCACCGCCTGAGACGTGTTATATGTTACGACCTGCAGGGGGTCTATGTTGAACCACGTGATGAGAACAATCACATTGATCAGTACGAGGACGGTGATTTGGGCAAACAGTGTCTTGTCGGCAACCTGAAAAGAAGGGACAATTTTGTAAGGTTCTAGGTCGTGCTCACCTGCAGACAAATGGTCTGTATGGGTTTTATGACGTATGTTAAGTCGCGCGTAGCACATTGTACAGTGTTATTTTCTATTTCAGTTTAGGTATTTGATAGCAGTTACCATCTTGTGACAGCAGTGAAACAGCATTTAATAAGAATCAATAAGGGAGATGTGTATATTTTAAGATAACTCTACTAATCCGCCCACTCCAATACTTAAAATACCGGGCAAAAAGATATACCACATGTTAATGGGGGATAATAATGAAAAGATCAATAAATTCTGATCCGATGGTGATGTATTTGATTCGGGGATCAAAGTTCTGTCTTTGATCTAACGTTTTCAGGTTTCCGGCGAGTCATAATTTTGATAACATTTGCAGTTTTTCGGTAAAATCCAAGTTTTATGTGTATGCCTTCTTTTGCCCGGTAGTCTGTATCAGTAAAGTGTCATTACGAATGCATAAAACTAATGTTCGACCAGGAAAGTGACATTCTTCATAATAAATACTTCTTTGAATTACAGAAAGATTTATGTGCTTCCTAAAGGCCTGACCTAAGCAATAATCCGTTGCCATTAAACGCTGCTATCTGAAATTAACTATTTATGAGATGTATTTTTTTGGTTAAAATGATTTTAAATGCGAAATACAAATACCAGATCAGCCGTTCGTTTTCAGAAACTGACACTCGTGCAAAATTGTAAGTAAGAGACTAAATCCTTCCTTTTGTTGTCTAAATTATACATTACCGTTTGACCTGGTTTTATTCTTCTAAATATTATATGAACTCTCCACGTCTTTGCAAAAAGAGCTCCAAATGCAAGTGAGAATCCAATGGCAATCACTATGTACCTCATCTGGAAAGAACATTGAAACAGTCAATACAAAGAGGTTATCAGAGCAGTTTGTTTTGTGATTGTAAATATCCTCAATTTGCAAGTGAGAATCTAAAGGCAATCACCATGTTCCTCTTCCGGAAAGAACGTTGACATAGTCACTACATACAGGTTATGAGAGCAATTTGTTTTGTGATGGTAAATATCCTCAATTTGCAAGTGAAAGTCTAAAGGCAATCACTATGTGCCTCATCCGGAAAGTACGTTGACATAGTCACTACATACAGGTTATGAGAGCAATTTGTTTTGTGATTGTAAATATCCTCAATTTGCAAGTGAGAATCTAAAGGCAATCACCATGTGCCTCATCCGGAAAGTACGTTGACATAGTCACTACATACAGGTTATGAGAGCCATTTGCTTTGTGATTGTAAATATTCTCAATTTGCAAGTGAGAATCTTAAGGCAATCACCATGTACCTCATCCGGAAAGAACGTTGACATAGTCACTACATACAGGTTATGAGAGCCATTTGTTTTGTGATTGTAAATATTCTCAATTAAGATTAACCTGTGTATTAGCTACCCCTGACGTAGGATATAGGATTTTCCTATCATGTTGATCACGTAGTCCTGTGTAATAAACGCTGGTCGATATGTCCATCGACTAGAAAAGAAGTAATACAACAATAGTTTTCCCGACTTTCCATTCAAATGCTTCTCTCCTTGACGTCAGTAAACCTGGTATCGAGAAGACTTAGTTACCTCTCAATAGAACAGAACACCTGTTCATTTCAGATTCCTGTTGCATTAAAGAAATACTGCAAGTTATATTGGACGTGTTACCGGTTTGTAATTGTCTCAGTTTGCTGTGGAATAGGGCAGGTCAATGGACGTATTAAGTCTCAAAGCCAAACTAATGACAGTTAATATGATTGAGCCTTTATGTGTTAAGATGTAGGATATATTTCACGGCCACAAGTCACCACTACCTCCTTTTAATCCTAAAAGGGTATTGGTTGTCCACAATGGCTGCTACACTGTATTGTAATAGTAAGGTGTCACAGTATGATTATGGATAATGGGAGCAATCATTTGCAATTATAATAATAGTAATACTAATAATTCTTGGTTTGACAAGTCGCAATTCACAAGAAAAGCCTCATGCCCGATCTAGGCGTGGATGGGTAAGGTCAATTGCATTATTAACCTGATAATTTCCCTTTGAATCAGTAGCACCACGGTTTCATTCTCAGCTGCTTTGGGAGTATGTTACGACACACCTACCGGGTACCGATACACTGCTGGGTGATCAGTTGCACAAAGTCCCTTTATGTTCTGTGTAAGAGAGTTGAGGTTCATCTTCAGGGACAAACTATATTTCTTTAACATCGCCTCCACCATTTTTCACGTTGAAAAAAGAACTCGGGATTCGCATGAAATGCAGTGCCCTTTCGTAAAGTAAAATCTGTTGCAGGATTATTTTGTGATATTTGTATCTGGAACAACCTGTAGATAACACAGAGAGACGATTCCTCGTGTCAATATACTCACATGACAGAATACTAGGTTTAATCCTGGCTCCGTCTCCTGGAAGAACACCGAGCTATAGATGAGGATACATCCGAACAGGATGAGGGTATTGATATTGGGAGACGACAGCTTTACTATCCTGGAATGACACAATTGACACAATTATTTTAATGACAAATGATGGATTTGGTTTGGTTATTAAAACCCCACTCAGCAATATTCCAGCTATATGGCAGCGGTCTATAAATAATCGAGACTGGACCAGCCATCCAGTGATCAACAGCATGAGCATTGATCTACGCAGCTTGGATACGATGAGACATGTCAAGCAAGTCAGCGATCCCGTTAGTCGCCTCTTCAAGCATGGGCTGCTGAAGACCAATTCTAACCCGTATCTTCACGCGTCTATATGAAGGAGGTGTATTTTAAAGCATTTTGAGCATTATTTCAGTCACACCATGCCTGTCGTCATGATGTCCGGTGAAAACTATTTGGTATTTTGGTGGAACCTACATGTACAAGCACAGAATAGTGGTGAACACAAAATTAAATAACAGAGAATATTAGATTCTTTCGTCTCAGAGACCAAAGTCTTCACATCCAAATTGCGAAGAGGATAATATGTGAATATTTGTCCCACACCTGGAAACAGTGTCACAACGTCATGTATGCTACACTGAAACACACGTTCCACGGTATTTGCATGTTCTATATACACACTGTACCTAAGGTGATGCTGGTAACGCATCCCAACATGGCGGCAGGTAACATCGCTTGGCTATTAATCCCCTCGAATTAGCAGCCTTCCACGTATATACAATCAACATTATTTAGCACACTGATAAACTTTGATGGTGGAAATACATTCCATCCACTGACTTTGCTTATTAATGCCTATGTGTTGAAGAATAAGCATTTTTAAAATCGCGCGAGGATGTCGGTAACTCAAACTCTGGATGTCGGTAACGTGCAATGAATGATGCTGGTAACGCAAAAGTACTGTCTTGCTTTAATCGGTAAACAGAAATTGTCGAGTTACGTTTAAACACAAAGGAGACACAAACATCAGTTCTTATGTTTTACACAGATGTGTACTGCTGCTACATTAACAGTATGAGTGACCTTTTCTGTGCTCCGGAGAATTGTTGTGGCGTTTCATTGAACTTGAATGGATTAGATGTGTGTGCCCATTGTCCATTACGCTGAGAGCTTTTTCTCTGTCCCTCCACAATTCGGACATTTGACATGTTGATGTCGTTGCAATATTGACGTTTAAAATACATTTTACTTCGTGCATATATTGGGTAGGGCTGAATATATAAATCTATATAGTCTTTCACCCTAACTTTAGGGACTGCATATTTTGCACCTGCAGGTGTCTGTCATCTGTCAGACATCAATTGAACCCATGCCCATGCCGAGATAGTTATAAAGGTAACTTTTGTAATAGGCGATCGCCGTGATATTGATAATAGGTTCCTGAGGTCACGGAGAAACATGAGGGTACATGTAAACACCTTTACACTGAAACGAATAACAAAAAAAAAAAAGATTGCACAGAAAAAGTCGCTCAAACTGTTAATGTAGCAGCAGTACACATCTGTGTAAAACATAAGAACTGATATTTGTATCTCCTTTGTGTTTAAACATAACTCGACAATTTCTGTTTCCCGACTAAAGCAAGACTATGCGTTACCAACATCATTCATTGCACGTTACCGACATCCAGACTTTGAGTTACCAACATCCTCGCGCGATTTTAAAAATGCTTATTCTACAACACATAGGCATTAATAAGCAAAGTCAGTGCATTGAATGCATTTCCACCATCAAAGTCTATCAGTGTGCTCAATGATTTTGATTGTATACTCGTGGAAGGCTGCTAATTCGAGGGGAATAATCGCCAACCGATCTTACCTGCCGCCATGTTGGGATGCTGGTAGCGCACGTTACCATCATCACCTTAGGTACAGTGATACAGGCGGCCCTTGGAGATCCGGGTTAGAATTTGTCTTTAGCAACCCTTGCTTGTCGTAAGAGGCGACTAACGGGATCGGGTGGTCAGGCTCGCTGACACATGTCATCGTTTCCCAATTGGCGCGATCGATGCTCATGCTGGTGAACATTGGAGAGTCTAGTCCAGACTCGATTATTTACAGACGTTCGCTTAACTTGATGCATGTCATCGTATCCCAAGAGCGTGTGTGTATATATATATATATATATATGCTCACGATGTCAATCACTGGATTGTGTGACCGAGCCTTTACACAGGCAAACATTATATTGTACCAGGATGCGTCTGTTTCGTATAATCATAACAGCGAAGCGTTTAGCTGGTCCGATTAATTCCTGTTGTTTTAAATCAATCGCAATTGCATGCAGAAGTGTGAGGAAACAAAGGAACATAGGCAAAGTGATGACAAATCTGAGACCTAAAGTCATAGTTGGAACTGGAACACGCTTCAAGATAACCCGTAACGACCACTTCCAACATTGGCTTCCTGCTGCATCTCGTCTTGACTATACGCTCATCTGCATCGTCTACAAGTGTTTAAACAATATTACGCCAGCTTATCTCAAAGATTTCATCACTGAAAACACCCAAACAGAACACTTCGCTCCCAGAACCAGCTCCTGTTAACAGTCCCGAAATCCGCTTAGCTTCATTTGGCAAGCGATCTTTTCGACATTCGATCTGATTCTGTCGCAAGTTTAAAATCTCGCTTGAAAATCTATCTCTTCAAGAGCATCTATTACTAACGTTTCAAATCTACGATGTATATTTTGGTGTTTATTACTGATTTTTATTGTAACGCCATGAACATGCACAAGTGCATGGATAAAGGCACATAATAAACGTCTATTATTATTATTATTATCATTATTATTTCCATGGCCCTCTTTCCTCTCAAAGGAACCCGAACGGAAGGAAGGTTAAGAAGTGAAGACGTTGGCGCTGAATCCTAGTCTGGTGCTGAGAGTGTTATCCATTTAGGGTTCGAATTCCCTCATCCAATCTCAGAGCTGCCACGTCCGTTACCAGTCCCCCTTCTTCTCCCTCACAGACGCAGGTGTTTTGTAAAACAATGCCGTTTTATTCAGTAACTTTAAAATTCGGTTGATCAATGCCAGTTTTATGCTACCCCGACGGTCTGGGCCTAGATTTTCGAAGCTCTCTTAGCGCTAAGATAGTCGTAAGTGCCATACAATAGCATTAACTTACGACTATCTTAGAGCTAAGAGAGCTTCGAAAATCTAGCCCCTGCTCATTATATCCAAAACTCAATTTTGCGTTCAGACATGATTATTTACCAGCTGGCGTAAGGATGAATTATTGCTTTATTGCTAAGTGAGACGTTAAACAACCAATAAAACCCGTCACTCTGTCAATTATGAAAAATAAGCTTATTCTTTCTCCCGACTCCCATATTTCAAATGATATATACATTTTATGTGTGACTATTACAGACGCACTAACACCTAGTCAGCAGTTTCCGGCCTTCTTGTCTCAATAGGCACATCGATTGCATTCAATTACAACAGAAAGCTCTCTTCCCTCACCCACGTTCTACACATAGTGCATTTAATAGTCCAGTCACTCTGACATAGACGTTCGCTTAACTAGCAGAGCTGTATGTAGCTGAGAAATTCTACAGACGGCACAAGCACCTCCACGCGGAGTTCTGTACAGGCACAAGGCGTTAAATTCAATTACGTAAAACGTGCTCTGACGCCGGACGATGAAATCCAGGAGGATTGGGTCTTTACCAAAACACCCCTGAGATATCACAGGGCAAACAAATGTCTCTCTACACTGACTTAATTTACAATTCAGATAACAGATCTAAGTTCAGATAGTGCGGTGTTTGCTGGGGTGACCTACATTGGTTGAGCGTCAAGAGGACATGATCAATCAGAGAGCACGTTTGTCCCATCCTGGTCATTATTCAAGGCGTTTTGAACACCGTAGATATCCAAATGCTTACAAGGTACAACACGTTGCTCCTTGAAACCAGATTCATGTGATCCTAGGGGTCTTGATCGTAGTCTTTCCGCTCGGAGGCATGATAAATCAAACCGGCTATGGTTCCTACTAATGCAGTTTGGGAATTCAAGACGGGTGATCTGATTGCAAAATTGGATGGAAAGTTATATCAATCGAATCGTTTCATTAGCTCCTTATGGAGCAGGATTACAAAGTCATGTGCTTACTTGTGCAAATGATATGGTGTCAGCTTGTTTCTAGATTTAGATGTTTTGTGTTCTCTTAACATCATGATCGCTTGACAAAGAAATTTCTTTACATTTTAAAAATTTCCGGCTCTTCCATCATACTAAACTACATGTAACACACAATTATCATAATATGGGTTAAACTGTTTGAATTACATTTACTTTTTCCTGTTTTGTTTCATTTTGATCCAAACCCGTGAAGTTGATCTTCAGTAACAATTCAATTAAATTCAACTCCATTTATTTGTCGAAACTCCAACAACTTTGGTACATGAGAATACTAAATTAGAATATTCATATAAATTAGCATGTCAAGATGGCAAATAAAAACAAAAGAAACAGCAACAGAAGTTAATGTATCTTTGTGGACTATATTCCACTTTGTGGAAATATTACATTAATATCCATTTGAGCAGTAGTTTAGCTGAAGCGAAGTAGGCATCTGAAAACTCGGATCCGGTTCATGTTTTAGGAACTTTCAATGCTAGAGCTCGGCAGAACTATTGGAACAGAAAGTTGTTTGTGGTCTACAGCGGGCAAGTGTTTATGACATGCCATCTTCCCGTTTTGAGTGAGTGAGTTAAAATTTAAAGTCACATCTGCAGTATTTCAGCCTTATCGTGACATATTAATAAAAACAATCTTGAACGATATGAAAATCCGTGAACAATGGACAGGAAAATAAATGGAATATCACAATTTTAGATTTATAACTAGCAAGTAACCATAAAATAATATGTTTACTGCTATATCGTGTTTCAGTGAAAGCGCCGAGCGTCGCGGGTTTTAAATCGTACATTTGTTTACGTGTCTCTGCAATATTCCAGCTACATGAGGGTGGCCTGTAAATAATCAAGTTTGGAGGAGACAACAGTCTAAGTAAACTTAGGCTAAGTATTATTTGTTACACTGCTACATTGAGTCTCACAAAACCTTGTGGGAGGTCGCGTCAGGTAACCTTTCAATTGACCAATCAGAACGCAGCTCACAAAATCTCTAAAGTTGACATTCGCTCATGCATTTTGAACTTTTATCTCGAAAAAGTTTTGTACCCGAACGATTCCGAATGCTATTTTCCGTACGATCGCTTCCGAGTGATGCAAATGGAGCACGCCACAACCGTGAGTAAACAGTCATTGAAAATAGCGTTTTGTCAGTATTCAAGGATGTCAGCTTGCGAAATATTAGCTCATGATAACCATGTCAACAGAAACCCCAAAGCGTATATTCTGCAGGTCATATATCTGTGTTTTATGCTGTTTTTCATTTGTTGTGAGATCAGTGTTGGCGACCGGGGAAGAATAAATTCATTTTGTAAGTCCCGCCGAACCCTAAAAAGTAGCCGTTTTCTGATTGGTTAAATCCGTTCTGTCGTCTCGCGTGTGATTGGACGGTCATATATATACGATATTCTTTATTTATCCTCCAAGTTGGGAGAGTACAAGTACAAGTTGCAAAAGGTAATATTTACACCCCTGTCACATCGTTATGTGACATAGAGTCTCTCAGAAAGCTGGCTGCACTGCTTAGTGCTGTGTGACTTCTCTGCACATCAGATGAATGTACCTTACAGCCACACTAGTAAATGTTCTCTGATCCTCTGCATTAAGTGACATTGCATTGGCATACGGTGACACGTGTCAACCAAGTTAACGAGTCTGACAATCCGGTCATATTAGTCGACTCTAACTACAAGCATGGGTTGCTGAATACAAATTCTAACCCGGTATCAAACACTCTTATACTTTATTTTGCCCCTTTGCTTAGCTGAAGCCAAGCAAGCCTCTGAGAAATCGGATTAAACAGATAAGAGGCATGTTTCTGATTCTGTGTTGGTGGGTGCGAGTGAACGCCGAACCACTTCTGAACATAACGTTCATGGTAACTGTTCCCATCCACCCTGCCAAAGTGTATGTCACGCAGATGCGCCACTTTCAACATCGTCCTGTCTATTAGGACAAACGTTTTGCGAGGAGGGTTGAATGAGATTTAATTTCCTCCCCATCAACAGCTTGTCTCTCAATCTGTTATTCGATGTAGAGTGTCTTGAGAATCACGCAACATCTGTTTCCTCAGTTAACGACACGAAAGTCGCTGTTTCTTCCCAATCCTTGAGAGTTAAGCTGAGAGTCAATGGACATAAATAATAATACGCTCATCTACAGGAATGAACAGAATGTAACATTAAAGACAGGTCAGGAAAAACGCTGCCAGTCCCTTAAGCCCCTAAGATATAGTTGGGTAGTGCTCATTTAAACTTCCTTGGATGTTAAGGAATTGCCATTTGTCTTCATTGTTAACTTCATGTGATTATTTAATGGTGACTTTTTATTTTGCAAAGCGCGTTTAAATGTATTTAATCACAATCACGTGGCAGTGAATGTTTTTAAAAAAAATGTCTGTCAAACCAGTTCCTCTTTCCGCGTGTATTTCTTCCCCGAGCGCCCGCAAGACCATAAAAAATAACAAGGATAAAGATGTTGAGCTGATAGATTGCCCGAGAACTTAAAATTAAGACCATGGATGTGGCGCACTAGAGATACAAATCCGTTGCTGCGGAATGATGTCGTTTTCCTCCGTACTATTTAGCACAACGTGGATATATGTTATAACACAAAACCTAATTACCTTGGAATTATGTTTCAGTAGAAAACGTTTGGATTACTTTTGTTTTCTTATACTCTTTACTTTGTGTATCATCTGGAGCACGGGAAAAAAATATGTAATCCTCTTGATTCGTTTTGTGAAGAACCCCATACTTGTAGCTCGCTATTTATCTTACTACTCAGCAGCAAAAAAAACCGTCAGTACGAATTCAAAATTACATAGGCACTGTAATCAAATCATTACAGAAATGGACATAATAAGCGGATCAAAACCATTTTTTGTGTACAATATATTGACACATCAGTGATTAACTCACACAATTTCAAGACAATTACGTGAACAATTGCAGTCCATTCAGACTATTGACTTCAGTATCTGGTGTGACCACCATGAGCGGCAATAACTGCAGCACAGCGTCTATGCATGGAGTGCACCAATCGATTGATGAAGGCCATTGGCACCTGGAACCACACTCTGAGAAAGGCCTGGGGCAATAAATCGGCTGTGACATTATTCAGTCTCCTCTGAATTTCATCCCAAAGATATTCAATTAGGTTTAAATCAGGACTAAGGGCTGGCCACTTGCATAATGTTGACACCGTTTTGCTGTTTGAAGTCCCGTGTAGCTCTGGCAGTATGGGCCCGGGCGTTATCATGCTGGAAAATGTTGTTCCGGCGAAATGTGGTATGACGTGGGGTCTGAGAGCTTGGTCGATGTAGTGCACCGTTGTGATGCCGCCTCCTCTCCCTGGACCAAGGTTCTGGAACACCCCAGGACCCACTCTCCGGTTCAGGCCTATACCACCCATACCATGATGCTTGCACCTCCCCATGAGTCTCTTTCCATAACACATTGGTCTGAGTAACTGTGACCACGTCGTCGCTATATTCTTGTTCTGCAATCTGCAGTTGATACGCAGTACCGACTCTCATCTGTGAACAGAACAGTCTCCATTGCCTGTATCGCCAGTTTGGGTGTTGTAGGGCAAACTGTAGACGTTCACGCCGATGACGAGGGGTGAGGATAGGTCCACGGTAAGGTCTACGGCAACTGAGGTTCCCGCTGTTTAGACGTCGGCGTACTGTATCAGTACTGATTGGTCTTCCGTGTGTTCCCACTGTCTGGCGTGCTGTTTCGTATGCCTGCATGAAGGGATTCTGTACATGCTGTCGCACAACATGGTGGTCTTGTCGTCTTGTGGTCACCCTTGGTCTGCCAGTATGGGGGCGATCATTTGTGGTGTTTGTGGCCCGGAAACGTTGATGCGGCCTGTAGATGGTCCGAACGTTGACCTGGAAGTGATTGGCAACGGCTTGTGCAGTGTGGCCAGCTTCAAGTCTTCCTAGCGCCTGGTTCCTCTGAGCTGTCGTGAGTCGCGCCATCCTGCTGACGTTGTAATGTGGAATGTTTCAGCCAGGTTTGGGGGTGCATTTTATAGGGCTGGTCCTTGTGAAGAGCACGTGCAGCATGAGTTGCATGAAAAACATGGAGAACACCGTACCATCTCCGAGATCGGGTTGCGTTTTTGAGACCATTTCGTTTATTCCATTCTGAGTTTGGAAAGGAATGTCTTTGCTCGGGTAAAGTTGGAGATGTTGTCAAAAATATACAATCAAAACATTAAATGAGTTTACAGTTATCCGTTTCTGCCAAGGAAAATTCCAAAGTGACGTTTCGTTTGCTGCTTAGTATATATCGCTTACCGCGTCACGCCAACCTCTCCTCCTGCAGTCTTACAGTGGAGCTAATGTGCTATCGCACTAAGGGTCGCTTCAATACAGAATGTCTCTTGTTCAAAGTGCCTTCTTCCACTGTCTCCAGGGTCGAAGATGTCTCTTTAAATGGAACATTACCTCCAAAAATCATTTTCGTTCTCATTGAAAGTAAACTGATACTAGTTCATCTATTTTACTTCTTGGAACACGTTCTTTGTGTTGTAACCTTATTTATCACTCAAAACTGTGTTCCACAGGAGATATTGCTTGTGTGAGATCTAACGACATCTCCTAGGAGTTATCGTTTTGACAGTAGATTTTGTACATAGCCCTGACAATGCTATGACATCATGAACTTGATGACGTCACAATGTTATGACGTTGCTGCACCGCAAGTCTAATGACAGTACCCTATTCAGAGATGTACATTTTTCGTTGAATACTAATGAAGAGTGATTTTGGATGATATATATAATCTCACCCACGTGTCTTCTGATATCAAATATATCAATACTCGTTGATATAAGTTAAAATATCCTCGACATGCTTCGGATATTTGTAACTTTATCAACTCGTGTTGATATAATTGATATCAGAAGACATGTGGGTGAGGTTCTCTACACTGGGAGGAAAATACACAAGGTTTAATGTTTTCATCAATTTGATTCACACTGACAACGTTGCACATATTTGTGCCTGTCCTTTAACAAAACTTGTTTTTGTACTCCTTTTTTTATGATAACAACAGGAGTTCTTGTACTACACTTACATTTTTCCGCGGATTGGTTTGCACTGGATTTTCATTCTGAGCTCTCTGGTACGTACACAACGAAAACTGCATTGCCAAGCGTTAGAATGTGAACAGTACCACTACAGTCTCTTCTATTGTTATTGATGCTGTTGATCACTGGGTTGTCTGGTCAGGACTTGGTTATTTACAGACCGCCGCCATAAAGCTGGAATATTGCTGAGTGTGGCGTAAAACTAAACTCACTCACTCAGTTGTTATTGACCCGTGAAGATCCGGGTTAAAATTGATCTTCAGCAACCCATTCTTGTCGTAAGAGGCGCCTAACGGGATAGGGTGATCTGGTTCGCTGACTGGGTTGACACATGTCATCGTATCCCAATTGCGTAGATCGATGTTCATGCTGTTGATCCCTGGAATATCTGGTCCAGACCCGATTATTTACAGACCCCACCATATAGCTAGAATAAGTGCGGTGTAAAACTAAACTCACTCACTTACTACTATTGTTATTGCAGGTTGGGAAGATGCGTGATTTGAATGAAGTCGCATGCACAAAAGGACAACAAAAGACAGTAGAATAAATAGAATATCAAAGTTCCAGATTACAAACCAGCATGGAACCACACAATGATATATTTCCTATGCGGGGTGAAGTGAAAGCTCCTGGGCCTCGAGGGTATTAAATAGTGTTGCATGTTGTTTACTGTAGAACTCTGCAATATTCCAGCCATATGACCGTGGCCTGTATGTTTGGAGGAGACAATCCAATGGCTGACTTCATGAGCATTAGTATACGATGACACGTGCCAACCAAGTTAGCGAGTCTGATCACCACCCGGTAATTAATATTAGTCGACTCATGACAAGCATGGGTTGCTGAATATCAATTCTAAACCGGTGTAGCACTGGTATTCCTTCTTTTGCCCCATAGTTTAGCTGAAGTTTAGCGAGCCTCTAAAAATCGGATTTTACAGATAAAAGGAATGTTTCAAGTAAATGGAGATGATAAGACTAATTCTGTGTGGGTGGGTTTGAATGAACGTCGGTATCGCTTCTAAACATCTCTGAGTTGATGCGATCGATGATATCAGTGTTCTTTGAATCTAGTTTACTTTATTAATCATTAATCGGCCTAAAGCACAAATACGGAGCTATACTCTTCATGGTAACTGCTTCCATCCGCCCTGCCAATGTGTATGTCACGTAGATGCGCCACTTCCACCAGCGTCGTGTCTATTAGGACAAACGTTTTGCGAGGAGGGGGAATGAGATTTAATTTCCTCCCCCATCAATAGCTTGTCTCTCAAACTGTTATTGGATGTAGAGTGTCTTGAGAATCACGCAACATCGGTTTCCTGAGTTAGCGACACGAACGTCGCTGTTTCTTCCCAATCCTTGAGAGTTAAGCTGAGAGTCAATGGACAAAAACAATAATACGCTCATCTACAGAATGTAACATTAAAGACAGGTCAGGAAAAACGCTGCCAGTCCCTTAAGCCCCTAAGATATAGTTGGGTAGTGCTCATTTAAACTTCCTTGGATGTTAAGGAATTGCCATTTTGTCTTCATTGTTAACTTCATGTGATTATTTAATGGTGACTTTTTATTTTGCAAAGCCCGTTTAAATGTATTTAATCACAATCACGTGGCAGTGAATGCAATAAAAACATTGTCTGACAAACCAATTTCTCTTCCCGTGTATAATACCTCCCCGAGCGCCCGCAGGACCATAAAGAGTATCAAGGATAAAGATGTTGAGCTGATAGATTGCCCGAGAACTTAATATTAAGACCATGGATGTGGCGCACTGGAGATGTAAATCCAATGCTAGGGACTGATGTCGTTTTCCTCCGTAATATTAAGCACAACGTGGATATATGCTGTTACACAAAACCTAATTACCCTAGAATTGTGTTTCAGTAGAAAACGTGTGGATTGCATTGTGTATCATCTGGAGCACGGGCAAAAAATAAAAAATATATAATCCTCTTGATTCGTTTTGTGATGAACCCCATACTTGTAGCTCGCTATTTATCTTACAATATCGCTTACCGCGTCACGCCAACCTCTCCTCTTGCAGTCTTACAGTGGAGCTAACGTGCTATCGCACTAAAGGGAAGCTTCGATACAGAATGTCTTTTGTTCAATATGCCTTCTTCCACTGTCTTCAGGGTCGAAGATGTCTCTTTAAATGGAAATTTGCCTCCAGAACCGTTTTCGTTTCTCATTGAAAGTAAACTGATACTAGTTCATTTATTTTACTTACTGGAACACGTTCTTTGTATTGGAACCTTATTTACAATGAGGAGGAAAATACACAAGGTGTAATGTTTTCTTAAATTTGATGCAAACTAACAACGTTGCATGTATTTGTGCCCGTCCTTTAAGAAAAGTTATTTTGTACTCCTGTTTTTATGATAACAATAGGAGTTCTTGTACTACACTGACATTATTCCGCGGACTGGTTTGCACTGGATTTTCATTCTCAGCTCCCCGGACGTACACAACGACAACTACATTGCCAAGCGTTAGAATGTGAACAGTACCACTATGTACAGTCTCTTCTATTGCTATTGCAGGGTGAGCAGATGCGTGATATCCGATGATAATAAAAAGCGAGTAAAATACCAATACCATTCACCAGTTTCATAAATATTGTATTACACGGGACATCGTATAGTATTCTATTTATTGCTCACCCAACATTAAATTAGGAAAATAATATCTCAGAAGCTAACCTACAGAACGAGTGCATTACGACGCCATAACGGGGGTCAGGCGTTCGAATACATTTTATTGATGATTATCATCATTATTCTATTCAATTTGATTTTTGTTTTATATAAGCAAGCTGGTATGAAAAAGGACCAAATGACTTCAACAACATATTTTGTTATAGAAATGCTATTGCACTCATCCGAGCAAAGAACAGTTGAAACAGTTGAAATTCAACAAGTGCATTACGCCTGCACAACTGGGTCACGCGTATACATGGTCATGTGACCGTGTGCAAATAGTTCCGACAGCACGCGATGTTTTTGCACAATATGTAATAACATTGTAAATTTGCTAAATAGTTATATCTTCAACGGGTGAGTAATATGTTCTTGTACAACACTGACATTATTCAATTGCACTGAATTTTCATTCTCATTTCGATGGGGAGTATACAGCGAAACAAAGTCGAACAAAGTCACATGCCCAAGGAGACACCACAAATGCTTCACTGTGTGGTAGGGCCGAGATTACGTCTAAGGCTAAGTCCGAGAGGTCAAGCTGATCTGTGCACTTAACACAGGACCACGTGGTTAATAAAAGACTGGAGAACTGTCTTCAGTCATAGTGGATTACGTCCCATGCTATTAGGTTTTCGAAGTTACTAGCCCTTGCACATCACGATGTGATGGTAATCCATCATTGCGTGTCGGTTTTTCCTAATATTACCTAATAATAACTAAAGGACGGAACAATAGGCATGAATGAACTAGTTAATGGGCATGAACAAAAAAAAATTTCTCAAAGAGACCATAAAAAATGTCACGTATGCTAACCATCCAGTGCGTACATGTATGCATTTTCTACAAGACGTTTCCTTTTCATTGAATACTATTAAGAGCTGCATACCAGCAACCGAGTCTGACTACCCGTTTCAATCAGTCGCCAGCAGATGTTACTGGGGCCAATTCTAATCAAAGATTCTCCTCGGCAGCAAGGAGTCGCTTGTATAATGTATATCTACCTGGCTTCCCGATATCTGATGTTGAAGATGAGGCAGCAGATGACGAGGACGATGCCGGCAGAGGCGAGGACGGACAGGGAGATGTAGAGGTCCATACTGATGAACTCAGGCGAGAGGATGAGGAGGGTGCTGTCTCGGGGGAAGTACCTACCTGGCGGAATAGGACATTGTTAGACGATACTGTCAATTCACACTATTAAACTACACTCTTAGTCGACTCTGATAGGCGACAATGCTAGACGACACTGTCAGATGACACTGTTAAACTACACTATTAGACGACACTGATAGACGACAATGATAGACGACAATGCTCTTAGACGATGCTGACGATGCTATAGACGACAATGCTAGACGGCACTGTTAAACTACACTCTTAGACGACACTGTTAAACTACACTCTTAGACGACACTGATAGACGACAATGCTAGACGACACTGTTAAACTACACTCTTAGACGACACTGATAGGCGACAATGCTAGACGACACTGTTAAACTACACTATTATACGACACTGATAGGCGACAATGCTAGACGACACTGTTAAGCTACACTCTTATACGACACTGATAGGCGACAATGCTAGACGACACTGTTAAACTACACTCTTATACGACACTGATAGGCGACAATGCTAGACGACACTGTTAAACTACACTCTTATACGACACTGATAGGCGACAATGCTAGACGACAATGTTAAACTACACTCTTAGTCGACTCTGATAGGCGACAATGCTAGACGACAATGTACACTGTCAGACGACAATGTTAAACTACACTCTTAGACGATACAGTGAGACGACAGTATTTGCTCAGGCATGATCAGGCAATGTTCTTCGACAGTCTGTTTGTTGTTTTACGCCGCACTCAGCAAATTCCAGCAAAATGGCGAGGATCTGAAAATGATCGAATCTGAACACGACGACCCAGTAATCAGCATCGTGAGCATATATCTACACAGCTGGGACAGGATGACATATGTCGACCACGTCAGTGAGCCTGACCGATCCGTTAGTCGCCTCCGTTATGGCACCAAATTTCACACATTTATAGCATCCGACTTCACACATTTATAGCATCAGACTTCAAACATTTATAGCATCAGACTTCACACATTTATAGCATCAGACTTCACACATCTATAGCATCAGACTTCACACATCTATAGCATCAGACTTCACACATATTTATAGCATCAGACTTCACACATCTATAGCATCAGACTTCACACATCTATAGCATCAGACTTCACACATTTATAGCATCAGACTTCACACATCTATAGCATCAGACTTCACACATTTATAGCATCAGACTTCACACATTTATAGCATCAGACTTCACACATTTATAGCTTCAGACTTCATACATTTGTAGCATCAGACTTCAGATATTTTTTTTAGATTCAGACCTCACACCTCTAAGCATGTCTTGCAGTTACGAAGTGATCCTTGTCTAAGACATGTATAAGACTGGATCAACCCACAAGCAAAGGTATTGTACTGACGGACCTGGAAACATAGTCGGGACTTGTATCTGCATAACATACAAAGGTTCATTAAAGGTTCAAACACCAATCACATAACATTGTTTTGCAGATAATAAGATCCATCTGTTGCTTTGTTGACGACAGCTGTATTAGACACTCACACGTGAACATACGGTACAGAAACTTAGGTGGGAGACTCCTGACTAGTGTCAGGGATTATTTGTCAAGGAAACATACCCAATAGCACTACTTCCTCATGAAATATGCCCAGAGGTAACGCATTTTTGCTCGTGGCGTGCTTAACTGAATGACACAGCTGACATTATACGCCCCCTAATAAGACCACAACCATTCTTCTCCGTCCGCCTCCATGAAGCCGTTGTCACTCAGGCTAGTTATATACGTGTTCTTGTGGCTTTTTCAGGTGAACAGTTGTCTTACTCTTGCACGCGTTTGTGACTGGTTGCACCAGTGGGGAAGGGTATGTTTATGTTTTCGTGATAACTCACACACTTATGTGTTCGTGAACCCCCCACATCACTGCTATTTAATCGTCGTTAATATACTGAAATACCCGGGTACAAATAGAACAGAGTGGACAATACCTTTGACTGAGAGTTCTTGTAAATATGGAAACTCTTCTATCGCTTTCATTTATCTACCTGTGAAGATCCAGATAAGAATTGGCCTTCAACAACCCATGTAAGAGGCGACTAACGTGATCGGATGGTCAGGCTCGCCGACTGTTTAATGCATGCCAATTGTGACTGATGTTCATGGTGTCAGTCAGTGTATGGTCCAGGATCGATTAGGTACAGAATGGAGTCACATAACTGGAACATTGCGGGGTTAAACAATAAACAAACAAAACAAGCTTTCATTTAGGAACATTTGATTCATGTCCTCAACCCGGACAGTGTGTTCTCGGCGACTATTCCTTCAGAAGTCGCATGCAATATCCCAATAGATGTATCGAATAAATAGACGCATTCACATTCAGGGCAGATAGACATGCAAGTTAATGACCTGTACTCCCACTCAAGACAATTTACGAAATACCATGTCTATTTTGACAGAAGTGTATTTTCCAGATTCGAGATGTACCACAAGGCGATGGTTATCACGACACCTATTTTTGAGCTCGGGCATGTTCCTGATGAGCACTGACCTTTATGCCCAAAGTAAGGCTTCTCAATGATCATCATCTTGTCTCTGTCAGGGTAGTAGACAGCCGTCATGTGCATAACTCCATCTGAAAGGTTATTCAAATTTACTGTATATACATGTAGTCTCTGGCGAATACTGTTGCTTTCCACATTCAAAGATGTTTTACCATTGCAGACTTTTACATAAGTGTCCTATACTCTTTACTGCAGATAGATATAAGATCTTTGTGACGTTGCATCTTCCTCCGAGTGCTGATAAACTGACGTCTTTGACATATGATAGGCTTCTATTTCTGGTTTCATAAATGCAAACTCATTTGACAAATTTACAACGGACACTGGGTGAGATCCCCGAGACATATTTGACAGTAACAGCAATCAAAGGTCCACAATACCTATCATTTGATCAACTTTCAACAGCGTTACCAAGTCCCCACTTTCATCGAAACGGATCTTTCCTTTAAGGCCTCCAAATGACAGATTCCTGAAGCTTTCGTAGATAGTCCGACCAGTGAGCCAGTTGTCATACGTGAAGGAGCCAAGGCTGGCTCCTGTTAATGAAAGAGAGAAGAGTTAGTTCAAAAATATGTCGAACACTACCACGTTAGATCACATACATTGCTTTTGAGTATTTTTCACAAAATAAACCAATTTCCTTGTAACACTACCAACAGAATGTTCATTTTGAATATAAGCGTCTCATTTAAAAAACCCAGCCACCCATGCCATAGCGAACAAAAGGATAATCCCTTTTTATAACGCAGTATGTCTGTTTCAAAACGTTGTGGTTAAAATGCGTCTTTTTGTGTAATCAGTTGTTTTACTGTTCAGTGAGTGATTTGGTTTTTACGCCGCTTTTAGCAATATCTCGGCTGGGGACAACGGAAATGGGCTTCACACATTGTACCCATGTGGGGAATGGAACCCGGGTGTTCGGCGTGACAAGCGAACGCTTTATCCACTAGGCCATCCCACCGCCCCTGTGTTTCTATATAGCGGGATACTTGTAGATACAGTAGAATACTTTTATAACGAACACGGATATAACGAACTGACGGCTATAGCGAACTGTTTTAGAAGTCCCGAATAAACCTCTGTATATTATCATATAAAAAGTCGTGAATAACGAATTCTCTATAACGAACTTAATGGCTATGGCGAACTGATTTGCAATCCCCGGGAGTCCCAGTTAACACTAATTAACGGTGTGAATAACGAACTGAGCGAACTCAATCGGTGTCACTGCCAATTAGCGGTGCTCACTTTGAAATCAGTGTATAGCGAACTGATTAGCAGTCCCCGGACATCTCAGTGAACATTAATTAACGGTGTGAATAACGAACTGAGCAAACTCAATCAGTGTTAATTAGCGGTGCTCACTTTGAAATCTGACCTATAAGTTAGATGTCAATGGTGGGATGCAACACTTGCCGGTTATGAAAATAATCCAGGCGAGTGGCGAGGTATCATTGCTAAATGATTACACGATTAAAGTTCATCAGTCAACCCTGACCTCGTCAGTGATTGGTTAACTTCTCAGCTGCCTGGTTACCTCGAAAACATGACATGGCATGAACAGTGATGAAACAGACCAGGCCCCTCCTTCGTTTGCTGATGCCAATATGGCGCTTCAAACATTGAAGAACTTTCTAGTTTCGCAGAAGACAACTGATATGTCTTCGTTTGATTCACTTGCCGATTGGATGAGGCTGTAGCACGTATGCAGTCGGCCAAGCGTGGACAAAGTAAGATCACAGACTTTGTAGTGAAACGAATGTAACTGTCGTATAAATGAATGAATAAACTGAGTAGGAGTGTATCGTACTGTACAGTATGTCTTTATTGTTCTTTCAATGGAATTTCGTGAATAGCGAACTACGGATATAACGAACTAATTTCAGTGGTCCCTTGGAGTTCGTTATAAAGGTATTTTACTGTATGTCCGTGATCAATGGAAACTAAACCAAATGATAAGATTGAGGAACTCTCCTATAAATATTTCCAACTGGCCAGTAACCATTTATGCTACAGCAATCAAATTATTTTCTCCTCCACATTCATGACATCCGCCTGTATAAATCAATTTACGCATGCTGTATCATAATGACCCGAATGGTGGTCAAGAAGTCTCTCGAGTGAGTAAGTCAGTTTACGCAGCTTTAAGCAATATTCCAGCAGTGGACACCAGAAATTGGCTTCACACATTGCACCCATGTGGGGAATCGAACCTGGGTCTTTGACGTGACGAGCGGACGCTTTAACCAACAGGCTTTGTTAGGCGATACTTCGGGACTTAAAGACCCCCATGATATAGCTGTTATACTTTTGAGCAAGCCTTAAACAACAAACCTCTAGGTGACAATATTTCGGGCAGATATCACTCTCCCATAGACTGATAGTCGCCGAAACCATTATCTTGAAACACTAAAACTGATTGTGAAAAGAAATCAATAAAAAGTAATTTTGTATATATTTACTAAAGAAAATCAGTGTCAGAAATGTGCCTCAACGTTATAGTCTCCTGAAAGGCACTTGACAAGATATATGAAAGGCTGGTCAATCTTCAGCCAAATGAGCTGACAAAATTACCCCTTTGCACGAGTCTCTTTTCTGCCATGTCTAACGCGAGAGCGAGAGCCCAGACCGAGTCATACGCCTGAGCTGCCGTCTTCTGACCGTGATCCGACCGATTGGCGTTGCGTATCCGAAATGATTCCAGGAACTCGAAACCGCTAATGCGAGCAGCATCCGTGGCTTTTGAGCGTAGAATGAACGTCTCCCCAACCCGGAAGTGACCATTGATGGCCTTCAGTAATTGCAGCTTGGTACATCCGGAAGTATCGTAAGCCTTTTCCCACCATCTGTCATCGAACCAGCCTAAAATAAACCACACGTATTTCGGCCCATATAACCCTTGCTTGTATATCTGAAATGGAACGGAGGGCAAATTAAAGGTAATCAGTACAGGGTTCATGCATCGCGGATGTCCCTAATGACTGATCCTAAAATAGAACGAGTTAGTGGAAACTGTTGTCCATTTTGTGTTTCTGCCAGAATGTTCTTAAGTGCTTTAGGAGCACTTAAGAACAGGATACCTTCGTTTGTGCAATTGGTTATGTTTAAGACGTGTTTATGCGTTCATGTATTGGAATTAGTTGTATGATGTAAAATAAATGTTTGAGGTGTCTGTTTTAAAGACACAGCAGGAAATATGATAAACTTGTAACAATTTGCAGCGAGTTGTATAGATTGAAACTATATTATCGAGATACGAGTAGCTTTGGGATCGTTTGAAATATTATCGAGATACAAGTAGCTTTGTGATATAGGGCACCACACGTATTTATTCAAACGTGAATATTCGAGTCTTCATGTGTCCAATTTGAAAGCTGAAAGCAGCAAGGGAAGCCTTTTGAAGTTCAATTTTTCATACAACGCCTTGAATTTTGCACTAAAACCTTTGATGATTAGGTTTAGAACCTGAACTATCAACCTAGTCTATTGATTTTGAAACTATGATCTTAAATCCTCAATTAAGTATCATGGATGATTAACGTCCGTGATGTACTTTAAAATAATAATTGTTTTATACCCCTACCTAAACAAAGTTATAATACAGAGGACACTTGTTGTTAGATCAATAACTTGAAACAGTTAAGTTGGATTGTTTTCAAATTCTTTGCCTACAGCAATGTTCGGTTCTGATTTTCTAATTTTTTGCTAGAGTTTCGATTTTCACGTTTCATGTTTTGAAATTCAATAAAATGTCTTATCATCATTGTCTTTCAAATTTGTTGAACACTCTCTATGGATGTGTCTAACGTGTAATGCAATGTAATTGTTTAATTCAACATGTGTGTACTGTGAAGACGTATCGTGGAAAGTTTTTTTGGGGAATCTTGGAAATACCTGTATATATTTTTCGGTTCAGCTGAACTTATTTAACTCTCAACCTGCTCATATACCTAATGTCATAACTCGTCCCCACTGGCTGAACATTGGAACCCTTCCTGTCCTGGGCAAGTGGCCACTCCTTGACCAAGGCAGAAAATTATCAATAATATATTTAGCAGACCGAAATTTCGGTGACCCTCACGTTAAGTGTGAAGTCCCTGTTAGCAAAATCACCATTCATGTGAAAGTTAACTGTAAGGTACACATAAATAACAAATATAAACTAAAAATGTGTTAAGTACTGGTGTTCAGATAAAGTTGGGGGTTCCGTTCGGGGGCATTTGTGGGAAATGTTCACTTGTTGTTCCCTTGTTTACATAGTATCTTTATTCATCAGCTTAATTACGTGAATGTTAGATGTAAGAATTGGATTTTTCAACCCAGTTCTCTGATTTTTCAAGAATTTATCGTGACTGATGAACTACATATCTTGAATAATTATTTCCAACTATGTATCTTAAATTGTTCAGAAAAAAACAGCACGAAAAAGTCAAAATGGGTTTTCTATTTCATATGCTCGTTCACTGTCTGCATACTCTACTTCTATCTGAGAGCATGCCCAGTGAACAATTCATGCTGTCCACTGGAGAGAAACGTCATACGTCACTGACAGTAATTTCAGGTATATTGAGAAAATGATATAATTGCCATGTACAATGTTTCAGACATATTTGCAAAATTGTTGGATTGTGTCGTCACAATATTTCAGGTAAATGATATAACTGTCACGTACAATATTTCAGGTAAATGATATAACTGTCACGTACAATATTTCAGGTAAATGATATTAATGTCACGTACAATATTTCAGGTAAATGATATAACTGTCACGTACAATATTTAAGGTAAATGATCTAAATGTCACGTACAATATTTCAGGCAAATGATATAACTGCCACGTACAATATTTCAGGTAAATGATATAACTGTCACGTACAATAATTCAGAGACATTAAGGAAAATTTGTCACGCCTACGTAGATTTAGGATATACTCAAAAATGGTTGTAGCATCAAAAATTGCAGCTTACCTCACAAAACACATTGAAAATAGTTTCTTCATAAAAGCTTGCAAAAATTATTCTTGCGTCATGTTTCTGAAAAGAAAAGAAAAAATATGAATAACAACTACAGCCTAAACAACAGTACAATGAAGGTTGCAAACTTTACATGTCTACAAGAAAGACACCACCTCTTCACAACATGTGACAATTCTCCAGACACACTCGAGACGTTTCAGTGCCCATGCTTGCCAGTGGACTATCATATTTTAAATATTTGAAAATTTAGTATTTTCTATAACGCATTTACAAGAACTTGGGAAAAGTTTGGAAGAGAGGTAATTTGTCAAGCAATTAACCTTTACATTTACAAAGAATATTTGACTAGAATTAAGTACTAAATCAAGATTAATGCACTGTCTATTCAGTTCACATGTTGGAGGAAAGGTCTGCAGCACTCTCATCCTTTTTGTTTTATCTATCGATTGTTCCCGACACAGTCCTATTCATAAAGACAATGGATCTGACTGTACCCTGGTGGTACTCGCACTGGCATTGACGTTCTTGTAGGTGGTCTCCTTCCCCAGCCTTACAAGAGAACAAACTGCAACCCTTAATCGATCTTCGCCAAGTACAACATTTAGAATTTGTTCATTCACTGAGTTAATTCAATAATTCATCAGTGAACGTGACGTACCTCCGCGCCCTTTCTACCCTGTCACTATATCGATAACCACAGTGAAATATTATCTCTCTGAATTGCCCAGAAGTGTGTACTTTTTAAAGACTCTGGGTTAACTGAGTACATTTTATTGAACATCTAGATGACAGTTTGGATTGCAAGGGCGGCGTGATTTGAGTAGATCTTATTTAATGTAATGCCACATCCGTTCAGCTGTAGTAAATGATGAGACTCTAAGACCCGGTTTAGAATTGGTCTTCAGCAACCGAGGTTGTCGTCAGAGGCACTAACGGATCAGGCGGTCAGACTCGCTGACTCAGTCGACACATGTCATCGTATCCCAATTGCGTAGATCGATGATGCTGATCACTGGGTTGTCTGGCCAAGACTCAATTATTTACAGTCCGTCGCAATATAGCTGGAATATTGCTGGGTGCGGCGTAAAACTAAACTCACTCACACTCACTATCATTCTGTGATTTGAGGGACATGCGCTTGCCCTCTTCTGTAGTATATAAATAGCATATACAATACAACTTCTAGACAAGTCAGATGGATAAGTTTAAATCTTAATCCCGATGACAGATGACTCCAAAAGCGTTAGATTATGGTAACTTTCACGGAACTACTTACAGTAGATAATAAAACACTACTGACAACTGATTATTGTTCAAACACATTGTCAAGAACGAATACAATTACACCATTGTTTACAAAGACATTACTCATATAGTATGTCGCGTTTACAGCGGTAGCCCATGATGCCATGCCGTGGTATGACATTGATGCCCCAGTCTACAGAGTGCTACAGACATTTCTTGCCACATGTTAACCTTGACGGTGCATTAATCTTAACTTATTACCAATTTGTGGCAGAATATTTTTGTAACGTTTACTGCTGGACAAATTACCTGTCTTCCAAACCGTTTCCAACGTTCCGCAGTATACCACAGTCAGACATACGCAATTTTGGTCCCAGCGGACTAGCATTTGTATTAACCTTGACGGTGCATTTATCTTGATTTAGTACTAATTTCTGGTCGAACATTTCTTGTATGTTTTACTGCCGGACAAATTACCCGTCTACCAAACCTTTCCCGGCATTCATTATATTGGTTCGAGCAAGCCGGTATTGTATCATCCCACTCATGTCGGTGACATAGGGCTAGACTACCAGTTGTCTGACATCCGTGTTTGTAGAAGCCGGGGTAGTTAAGTGACTTAGAGGGCTGACTTTGAGAGTGTGGGTCCGAATCTCGGATGGGACTCAAACCCAACATAAGTAATGGAATCTGCACTTTACACAAGAGTAATCCCAAATATAGCCGTTGTGGTTAATAAACGCGTTCTCTCGCCACGGAGAAGACGATTCCCTACATGGGTAAAATGTCCCCGCCGTGATATTGCTAGAATTATGCTAAAGGTGGCGTAAAAGTAAACTCACTCACTCATCCACTGCTTCGGACTTGTTTTACGAACAGGAATTCCTTTTATTTGACCGTTCTCTGCATTCTTAAAAACTGGCGTTTGGTTGTTTGGAAAACATTACATCATTCCGTTCAAGACGCCATTGTCCTGCTTGATTAAGTACTTGATCCGTCACTTGCTTCTACACAGTATATTGGCAGTATCGATTATTCCAGTATATTTGCAGTCATGTCATCGTGATGACGACAGTGACCACAGTCGTGACTCATGGGTTTATCACTGGTTTGCATGGTCCAGATTCGATCGTGTACTAGTTTGTTGGTTTTTGAACGTCCTTGACCTTTTTCGTTCCTTGACCTGATTCACATCATGATCATCACATGACCAAACCAAGTTATATAGTCGCCAATACCAACAAATATAAGATGCTGAAGGCCAATTCTAAATCAGGATTTTCAAAGGTCGAGTGGGAGTGATGTGTGTGTGTGTGTGTGCGTGTGTGCGTGCGCGCGCTTTACGTGTTGACCTTTCAGGTGAACACGGTGTGTCATCTTTGACTTTTAGTAGTCTATTTACATTGTTAGCTTTGGCTGTTTGTTGTTGCACGCTCACTCAGCAATATTCCAGCTATATGGCGGCGGTGTGTGAGGTGAGGTGAAATTGGGTTTAACGTCGTGCTTGAGAATATTTCGCTCATATGACGACGTGCATGCATGTGTATGGGTATGTGCGGCTGCTTGTACTAGCCCAGACTTAAGCTGGTTTTATAGTGCTAGCCCACTGAGATACTATGCCGCAGTGAAGCATGATTACCCACTCAGACACATTATACTGACTCCGAGCCGACCAGTCCTTGTTGTCCCCATTAATGCCGAGCGCCAGGCAGGCACCAACAAGTACCATAGTTTAACGTCTTTTTGGTATGATTCGATCGGGGATCAAACCCGCGACCTTCCGCTCTCCGGCGGCGGTCTGTAAATAATGGAGCCCGAACAAGACAATCCAAGACATATCACGAGCATCCACCTACGTATCAATGATACCATGTCATGAGTCAACCAAGGTAGCGGGCCTGACCACCCGATCCGTTAGTGCCTATATTGTATCTATATTGAAGCTATAATAATTATTATACTGCTTGTACGTATTGTTATGATACACTGTTGTGTGTTGTCATTGTTCTTTCATTGCAGCTAGATTTGTCTTGATTTGTAAACATAGCCATTTTAAAAACAATGCACATTGTGTTGATTCATAAACCTATTTTTTAAAATACAACTGTTAATTGCGTAACATTTCTGGTTTATTGTTGGTTTCACACTGAATGCTTCTGCGTATAGATTTCTGGACTCTTCGTGGGTCGATATGTCACTACTGGCAACAGTCATGTATAAGATGACATATCTCCTACGACATTAATCCCAGTTTCACGTGCCACATAATGCAACATTGAAAGAAGCGTTAGGTCAACCAATGGCATCAGTGATGAAGGCGGCATCATCTGTTTCAATATCCACGCGAAGTACTCTTGGCAGGAAAACTTGTAAAACTTGCGAAACAATTGACGATTTTTGTGGAAGCCCCAGTGGCAGAGTGGGTTAGAGGGCTGACTTTGTGCGATGACCCTGATTCAAATTCGAATTCCGGGAGGGACTCGACTCAACAAAAGTACTAGAAACTGTACTTTTCTTACAAAGTGTAATCCCAAATATAGCCGTAGTGGTTAAAGCGGATCGATTCCTCACATGGGTACAACGTGATCTTTTAAATATGATGCTAGATCTCGGCAGGATTTTGCGAACGGAAAGCAGTTTCTACACTTGGTTGTGTCTAAGTTTTAAGTACACTCCATCTTCTTACATCGTGTTGACTGACTGACTGAGTTTGGTTTTACGCCGCTTTTAGCAATATTCCAGCAACATCACGGCGGACATCGTGTTGAAGTGAAAACGCCTGAACCTCGCGAATGTAAAATTCTACATTTGTTTGCGTGTCGTTTACCGTTACCGAACCACTGCAATATTCCAGTTATATGATGTTTGTAAATTGGAGCAGAGAATCCAGTGATTGGGGGCGGTGGGGTAGCCTAATGGTTAAAGCGTTGGCTCGTCACGCCGAAGACCCGGGTTCGAATCCCCACATGGGCACAATGTGTGAAGCCCATTTCTGGTGTCCCCCGCCGTGATGTTGCTGGAATATTGATAAAAGCGGCGTAAAACCAAACTCAGTCAGTCAGTCAGTGAGTCCAGTGATTAACATCATGCGCATTGATCTGTGCAAATGAGACACGGTAGAAGAGACCATGACACAGCGCTAGGTCTCACACTACACCAGGTAAGCATGAAACCACACACCACATGAACGTTTTATAACACCGTAATATAAAGTTTAATTAATTGTATCTTCCGTTTTTTGTAAAACAGTAATGCTTTCTGTCGACTGCTGTGCAAAGGTTTTAGTGAAGTGATAGCAACGTTCGCGTTTACGTAATTCACTGACGTTCAGCGACATCCAGTAGGTGGCGCCATACAGCGATAATAAGTCCGCATCTGTGAAACTCTGTTGCGCTGCTCCTTTCACTTTTTCTATGAAAGTTTACTTAGAATCTTTGACGATGGTTCTTCTTGTTTAATGTCGTCTTATATATTGCTTCATCTTTACCGACGGTTGGCCTTAAGCTATGTCGCAAAGCTCTCAAGTTGCGCATTTTAAAAAACATACCTGCAAATATCCTTTAAAAAACTCCTGTTACTAAGCGTGATAAAATCATGTCACGCAGACCCTGGATTTCAAAATGTCACAGAACCGTTTTTCTATCGATATCCCTTGAACAAAGAAAGTATCAGTGCTTTGGATGTTCGTGTCTGCCAGTGGTAGCAACACTTTAATTGAACCCAGGGTCTTCAGTTTCACAATCTAAGTCGTGTCATTCACGGGGACGTGTCACCCAGGAAAGACAGCTGAGGAGCAATTCTGTCCAAATTGAACACCTGGTGTCATGACTTTTATGACTGAAGTTCGTGTGTATTGCAATGTCGTGACTTCACTTCCGCGATTGAGACAGCTCACGAGACAAGCGTATAGGTCAGTATGGGAAGGGCCGTCATTCCATTGCCGTCATTTCAGTGTAGTGAAAGTAGTTGTCACGATATGTGTCAGTGTGTCTTGTCTGTGTGTCTGTGTGTGATTTTAATGTGTGATGTATTTGTTCGATGTTTATGTGATGTGTGACGTGTGCATTGGCGAATCCAATAAGACCAACACCATATGCTTTGGTGGACACAATTAGGAACGATGTAATGACATCGACCTCTATTTTCCAACAAAGTAACAATGCGTATATTTTAATTGCATATATATTGAATTAAGGTGTCAATTCTGATTCATGAACCATGCTGACATGGTTTTGTATCAGTTAGTGAGTGATTGTTGTTTTACTGGACAAACAGCAATATTCAAGCTATTACGCGGGGCCGGACGGATTATCGAGTCATGACTAGTGAGTGAGTATGGTTTTTACGCCGGTTTTAGCAATATTCCGGCATAATCACGGCGGGGAACACCAGCTTCACACATTGTAACCACGTAGGGAGTTGATCCCGGGTCTTCGCTGTGGCAAGCGAACGGTTTAACCACGAGGCTACCCCACCGCTCCGAGTCATGACTAGCTGCACCAGTTGTTCTGAAGGTGGGCTGCATTTCAAGTCCTCGGAGTAGAATACAGCCTTCCACCTTGGCTTATGATTGATACATGATAGAATCTGTTCCCAGTCATTTACCCTCGGGTTTTTAACTAGCACAATCTTGATACGTTGGAAACTGTTTGATTTTTCCTTCAAGAGAAATACTTAGTAAAGTGGAAGTGCTAACTGATGATAATTATCCCCAAGCGCATAAAAGTGTGTGAGTGAGTTTAGTTTTACGCCGCACTCAGCAATATTCCAGCTATATGGCGGCGGTCTGTAAATAATCGAGTCTGGACCAGACAATCGAGTGATCAACAGCATGAGCATCGATCTGCGCAATTGGGAACCGATGACATGCGTCCACCACGTCAGTGAGCCTGACCACCCGATCCCGTTAGTCGCCTCTTACGACAAGCATATTCGCCTTTTGTGGCAAGCATGGGTTGCTGAAGACGGATCTTCACGGGTCGCATAAGAGCTAGATGATCCACATCCCCAACCCCAACCCGCATGACCCTCCCCACATCTTCTGGTCCCTCTCGACACATGTGAGGGTAACTGGTACACTTTCCGTCCTGGAGATGATACACAATAACCGTAGGCAAGTATTTTAACACCACTTTACCAATGAGCAATTCCTTGAATCGTAAACAATCTTCATTCGGTGAAAGTACCTCGTATAAAACAAGAACGTTTGAACTAAACACTTTATTGAAAACACACGTAATTCGAGTGGCCACAATGTGTTCTTTGGAATGAATCTAGTCTCGCAAAACCAGCAATGTTGACCGCATTCTTCCTTAACAAAAATAGAAATTGGAATCGTATTTCACTCTGCCAATGGTTCCAACATTCATCTCAGTAACCAGATATCGATAAATACAATCAAGTAGTCATTGCCCTATCGTGAATTCAGGAACAGATATCGATTGATACATTTAAGCACGTGTCTTCAATTTGCGGCTTAAGCAGCTTTGACAAAAATATATCACCAGGTCGTTGTTTGTGTCTACACGGTAATTCAATCTGCAACTGATGTTCCAGTAGTTGTGTAATATACCCCATACCGTACGCATAGGGAAGGCTACAATGATAAACACTCAACTTGCGTGTAGGGAAGCAATATATAAGTTAAGGGGCATAGAGACTGTTGATAGAGTAGGGATCGAGAGACCTTGCTGAAGGCGAGAGAACACTCTGTGAGCTGTTTCGGGAGGTGCATCCTTATCTTCGATTTCATGACGCCGAAGAAACGATTTTCGAGACCTAAGAGCCTGGAAGGGCTATGAAAACATTTAGGAGGGCGCAGATAGCAAATAAGAGCCAAGGTATTTTTTTGCGGTTTTCGAGTAAGAAAAACTCAGCATCAGAACGGTGTGAACAAATTATTGTATATCATGTGTGTTAAAAATATTTGATGAAGGATGTGAATTTTCTGCGTCCTGTTTTTGTATCACTGGCACAATGTTTCTCAGAAGGTTAAAGGAGACCAAAGAAGCTTTACGAAGTTCCAGAGTCTTGCAATTTATACGTGAAATCGTGAAATCCGTGAAATCACGACGGGAGACTTAAAAAATTGGCTTTACACATGTTGGGAATCGAACCCGGATCTTTATCGTGGTGAACAATGTAATCACTGAAGTTATAGTGTTCAGAACAAAAGAAGATTTGGTTTGGTTGTTGTTTAAAAAAACGCCTCATTCAGCAATATTCTAGCTATATGGCGGCAGTCTGAAAATAATCGAGTCTGGAATTGTTTCCCAACAAACGCAGAAGTAGCCTATTGACCAACAGTTCCTCTAAGGTCTCACAGCATGCCACTAGGACATGCAATACAGTATACGCCGCTTCTAAACAATACCGGGTGGTGGGGTAGTCTAGTGGTTAAAGCGTTCGCTCGTCACGCCAATGACCCGGGTTCGATTCCTGACATGGAGACAATGTGATAAGCCCATTTCTAGTGTCCCCCGCGGTCATATTGCTGGAATATTGCTAAAAGCGGTGTAAAATCATACTCACTCACTCCAACCAATACTAACAAGTACGCGTGTGACCATGAAAACTACTGAACAAATATGCATGAAACAAACTATATAATTAAAAGTGCCAACTGTGATATACAAAGGTTTCATTGACCAAAAACCTCCTGACCATGACAGTGACATTGAGCTTTATCTTAAATAAGAAAGATTTTTAAGATTAAGCAAAGTTTGTCTTAGGATTGCTGAAGAAACAATTGAAGGGTACCGACTAAAATGTTGGAGCCACTTTACAATGGCGTCAAAGATGGCATTGACCTACGCAAGCCACTGATATGAGATTAGGTAGGATTTTATAAACAAAATAGACTCATATGTCAGGATTCATACCTGCTTTTGTCTTAAAGTGATCAAAACAGTTTCAAAGGAAGATTGTATCCTAAAAAGGTACTATATAGTTTGTTTTGTTAAAACAGTCTTAAGTTCCATAGCATTTACCGATCAATTTACCAGGCCCATATGAATAAGCCCATTGCAGGATACCCACTTTGTTCCCTAAACGGTATAACAATTACCGATTGAGTGAGTGAGTGAGCTAATTATTTCAGCCATATAGTGACTAAAACAAGTTACACATTCATGACACACAAACCGGGAATATAAAAACCTGTTGACGAACTACATTACCGACTCAGTGGTTGCGATAACCGTCAAAGTTGTTCCGTATCACGGATTGAATATACATACCTTGAGATTTTCTATTTTTCTGGCCGGATCGTCGTTGAAAACTTCCATGGTAAGCATGTGTATGTTCTCCTTGTCCATCCGTACAGCAAGATCATCGACAAGCTACAACAGCAACATTTCAACCTCATCAACATAACGGGAGCAGATAGTAGTCTGGGTATTTGTATCTGAATCATTGTTCTTTTTGTTATCAAACCGAAATATATATATATATATATATATATAGAGAGAGAGAGAGAGAGAGAGAGAGAGAGAGAGAGAGAGAGAGAGAGAGAGAGAGAGAACATATTCTAACCTGTAATAACTCCTGGTTTTTACTTATAAACACGGGGATCGAATGATCAGGGCCCCGTTTCACAAAGCTCTCGTAGGACTAAGATCTCGTAACTTTTCTCGTAGCATTCGAACCTCCTATGTTACAGTATAGCAGGTACCAATGCTACGAGAAAAGTTACGAGATCTTAGGCCTACGAGAGCTTTATGAAACGGGGCCCAGGCTCGCTGGCTTGGTTGACACATGTCATCGGTTCCCAATTGCGCAGATCGATGATCATGCTGTTGATCACTGGATTGTCTGGTCCAGACTCGATTATTTACAGACCGCCGCCATATAGCTGGATTATTGCTGAGTGCGGCGGAAATCTAAACTCACCCACTAACTTATAAGCACGAGTGTAATTTAGTTAGGAGGCGAGTATGTCCTGTAAACACGGCGAATTACAGGCACCTGCAACTGTCAGCATAGCTAACGGAATAACTGTACGATTATTATGTTATTATATTATAGGATATTTATATAGCGCACACATCCAGGAAACTAGTGCATGTTCAAGGCGCTGGTATTTTTCCCTCGATCATTGGATGCCAATATCAACGGCACATCGTATTATCAATCTCAACTCTCTGGGGAGTATACAACTCTTGCAGCCACTAGGCGCACCGAGTTTATTATTGTGGCTTTCTCATCCTAACGAGGTACCCATTCACAGTTGGGTGGACTTGGACACATAGTCACAGCACCTTGTCCAACTTCACTGCACCGATGCTGTACCCGCAACTAGGTGTTTGCACCTACTCATGTGGCTACCATCTGGTCATATACCAACGGATTCGTGGGTTCTTTTAAGTGTACAGGGTTGTGTACTGTACAACTCGGGGTTGTGACAACACTGAAAGAGTCTGCACACAAAGTTGACTCAAAGGTTTTTTACACCCGGTCACAGGTGGGCTCGATCCCGACACCTCAACCGCGCTGGATCACTAGTCAGGCGCCCCAGCTCGCCCACCGCGCCCCAACTGTACTGTTATTCTCATGATGATTGGATTGTTACGGACCGCCATGATGCCTGGACTATTGCTGAGCGTGGCAATAAACAGGCAACCAAATTGTCTGACAACGTTGTAACCAACAGTCAGTAACTGAACTGAGTAATAGAACAATCTGTAAGGACCATAGTATATAATATAATGCAATACGGAACAAGTAATCAAACAATTATTGCAGAGTGGAATTGTGCGTGACAATACTTGGTGGTAAGATTAAACTAACTGTTCCCATTTGTGAATAATGAGAAAATTGGTTATTTCTAAATCACATGATTGGTACCAACAGGGTACATTCCCCACCTATCCATCCTCATACAAACCTCCTCTCCACTCACTCACTCACATAGAACTGAGTGACCCGTGAAGATCCGGGATCGGGTGGTCAGGATCCTTGACATATGTCTTCGTATCCCATCTGCATAGATCAATGCTCATGACGTCGATCATTGGATTGTCTGGTCCAAATTCGATTATTTTCAGGCCGCCGCCATATAGCTTGAATATTACTGATTGCGGCGTTAAACAACAGACAAAGACACCTTCTTCGCCACCGATTGTCATGTAGAAGCGTTAATCCCCACTTCATAACCCTCATCCAAACAGCACTGAAGATACGTTTCAAAACCCAACCTCCTTCCGACTTCAGTTGAGAATCCATAAAGTTTGAACACTTAAACATCAATAAACAACCCCGTTCTTGTAGATGTAAGCTGTTAAGAGCAAAACAAGATGACTAGGGTATATACAATGGCGGTTAGTTGTACCGCATTAAACAATTATGGCGTCTCTGTGTTTAACGCATCGTAACTTGATCTCTTTACGTGGAGACATCTCGTGAAAGGTAACTGCAGAGCCGCGGGGAACATCAAAATGACTTTTCTTTGAGAACGTGAGAAGTAGAAACGTCTCATACACAAAAAGCCAAAACTTGATATCTTGCTCATCAATTCTCATCATTGCCACAATGGAATTACACGCGAGTGTACGAATTGTTCCCTAGAGATATCGGCCAGTCAATTTGGTCAGGTGTAGATGCACCAGTATTAACACAGGGAAATGAAGGTAATTTCGAATAAATCCTTTCGGATGTAAAGGCAATCCGAGCCAGAAGCAAGCACAGCGTGGCATTAGTGAAGCAAAAGCTGCATTAAAGTGTTTTTAGAGACGTGCATGTGTCATTACAGTGACCGTTGGTTCCAGAAGGGCTTTTGGATGATAATGGTAAGATAACTTTCAAGCTTCAAATGGTATCATATATTGTTAAAAAGTCATCAGTTCGTCTGGGGCATTTAAATCAAGATTGATAGTTTCCCATTCAGATTAAAAAGTTCGAAGACAAGTCCACCTTTTGACTTTTGATTGCGCCCGATGGCTATCTGCTTATAACGTTTTTGTCAAAGCAATTTATAAAGTTGAATCCAGAGGAACAGTAGCGTGAAAAAGGATTTCATTTACGTTGATAATCTGATGAATGAAAAGATAAAGTTCACTTACCGATTGCATCCTAAGTAATTCTTTATTCTTTCAGTACGGTGTTGCTGTACAGATGCAAGCATTTTTTATGAAACATGTGCCCGAGGATGTGTCAGCTTATACACACTTTCCGATGAGAGTGTAATTGCCACTGCACACATGCTTGACAAAGGTCACTGTTTGTTTGTTGTACATTGCCGAACTAGAAACATTCCAGATACGCGATGATAAAGCGTAAATAACCGCGTGTGCTCCAGACAATCCAGTGATTGCCATCATGAGCATCGATATACTCAAAAGGGATACAATGGAATGACAACCGATTCTCCTAATCGCCTACTATGAGAAGCATGGGTTGCTGAAGACCAATTCTAACCTACATTCTCAAGGATGGCTAGAAAAAGGTACCAAAATCTGTACCAAAACTTCACGTTGACTCAAGATGTTAAAATACACAAGCCCTGTTTAATGAACCAGTCTTGTTTGATGACCGTACAAGCATATGTCGCAGTTTCAAGAAAATGTCACCATAATTCACCTTTGCCTTCATCGATATTTCTCAATAGTGTAGTGGGAATAACTAGATCGATGCTAAGGCCATTACTCGTCAAGTCGAACGCATGGGTTCAATTCCAAAGAAGCATAAAATCCAACTCGCCCAGTCAGCTACTTAAGCATAACGAGCTCGGTATATTGCTTTTCTACAAAACCAAGACAGTTAGTGATAACTGTCTTGGTTTTGTGAAAATTCAGTATTGAGAAAATTCAGCAGCATCACTACTTTTCAGTGATCCATTCAGTGTGGACCCGTGAAGATCCGTGTTAGAATTGATCTTCAGTAACCCATGCGTGTCGTAAGAGGCGACTAACAGGCTCGCTGAATTGGTTGACAAATGTCATCGTATCCCAATTGCGTAGATCGATGCTAATGCTGTTGCTCACTGGATATTTAGCAGATGTCGCTCAGGACAGCATGCTTCATAAGCTGATACCAGACGCAGGTGTTCAGGAAGGTGGGATGCATTGAGCCTTTGGCCAATGTCTTGCCTCAGCGTCTTCAAATGTCAGTGATGAATTTATACACGTTTCACGACATCTTTATATCAACATTTTTTAGCTAGATAATATTCCCTGGCGTTGATGCTTTATATGATGTATTGAAGTGATGTGCTTATGCGTTTCATGACTGCTTTAAAGTTTACACCAAATGGAATATTTTGGGGTAAGATAATATTCTCTGACGTTGATGCATCATATTTCTATTTGCAGTGAATCATCGTGGCCGCGGGATTGCGGGATATACGTCATTACTTCCCCAATTCAAAAAGATAGTGCTCCAAATTTCACGCATACAAGTAGAGTTGGCTCACTTTATTGACCAAGTGCGAGATATAATTTCAGTATATAAAGCAATACGAATAACAGTGTAGTGATTACCATTTCATTCATATACTGGGACTTTGTTTGGTTTTTTTTTGGTTTTTTTTTGGGGGACAATTAATCAGCGCTAATCAACGTATTGATCCCGAGGTCTATGATCAAAGTCAAACGTACCGGTTGCTTCCTTGGAGCTCATGAGTAAGATTGATCACATGACTACCTTATACTGGGGTAATAAAAGTTTGAGATCATAAACATGTTGGCCCTTTTTCAGATAGGCGATGTCCCACTGTCTGAAATCGGTGGGGCACTTGGCCCAGTTTGTGAAAAGCTAGAAGCATCCAACTGTTTGTATTTGGATAGCGAGGTTATTGTACTCAATACCCGAGGCCATTTTCCAAAGCGTGGTAATCTGTGGGTCCATATGCCGCGATCATGTTTCAGGGCTTTGTCAAATGGTTTGGGTTTGTTTGGGATTTGTTTAAACTCATCATTATTCCAGCTATATATGGTGGTGATCTGTAAACAATCGATTCTGGACCAGACGATCCAGTGATCAACGACATGAACATCGATCGACGCAAATTGGATACGATGACATCTCAAGAATAAAATGGGTTCCTGAAAACCAATTCTAACACAAATCTTTACGGGTCTTCTCAAATTGTACTTACTGATGAAAATATTTTGTATGACTGATGGATTGTTGCTATTTTCTTCCATCCCATCTTCTTAATGAAGGCTATTCTAGCTGGGTTGATGGACTCCTCCGGAACAGACAGACGGAAGAAGTATGGGTAGAGCTTCTTGTTGGACAACAGAGGCGAGTTGGAGAGATATGAAATCTGAAACAAGCGAACATTGGTGTCACAAGACATTGTCATGACAGGAGTGAGTGATTGAGTTTAGTTTTACGCCGCACTCAGCAATATTCCATCTATATGGCGGTGGTCTGTAAATAATCGAGTGTTGACCAGACAATCGAGTGATCAACAGCATACGCATCGATCTACGCAATTGGTATGCGATGACATGTGTCACCCAAGTCAGCAAGCCAGACCACCCGATCCCGTTAGTAGCCTCTTACGACAAGCATGGGTTGCTGAAGATCAATTGTAACCCGGATCTTTCACGAGTTCACACGTCGCTATATAGCTGCGATGATGGTGAACGGTACGTTAAACCCAATTTCATCTCTTGTCTTCACGCGGCCGAGTTGAAATATTTCATTCTTTTCTAAATCTGATTAAAACCATCGCACCAAAACCAATCATGAGAGTTCAATAACAACCAAATAATTTTATTTTATAATTATTGAAAAAAATGCTATCAAATATATATATAGTCTTCGTAAAATATCTTTCAATATTCCAAGTTCATGGAATGATGTTTAATCAAAATCCGTTCAACAAAAAGTAACTATGGTTCGAAAAAACATGAGAATTCAATAAGGATGAGGTCTTTGAACGTTTGATGTCATTTCATCTTCAAGAACGAATCGAGTTCCTCACTGAAATACATTTCCATGCAAGGAATGGCAGATAAAATATAATTTGATAAATTTCCAAAAATTGTCTAGTAGTAACAATATGTCCTCTTTGATCTAAGTCTATTTTCAGGCAGTCGTTAATCTTTTTACATAAATTACTTTCTCACCGTACCATTTATCAAATCAATATTACAATACCAGTGCCATAATGGTCTTGAGCACTGGGAATTTTCACACAGTATAGGGTTCCTTGTCTTAGAATTTGTTGGAAACGACGCCCAAAAATGTCATTAGCCTTTTTGTTCCAGATCACTCAATGTACATTAGAGGTAAATCCACTCTGACTTTTAACGATCAGCTCTTTTCAAGTCAGCTGGTTCAAACGGGCCGTTGCTATTTGTAAACTATCACTGGGCCGGTGAGTCCACTGAGGGAGAATTGCCTTATCACGTTACACCTTGACATATGACTCTCACAATTAGATGTTCTCTGGGGTATAATCTTAAATGATTGATGCTTTCCCAGCAGGCAGAGAAATGATATGAAGTTGGGGTGAGATTAACTTACTCGGTACAAGTTGAAGGACAGAATAGTTTGCATAAACCATACATCGCAGTGTAAGGATCATTTGCCGTTTTGAACAGATCAACAATAGCGTCCTATGGAAACATTTGACACATGTGTTTGGGTATCTGTGCAAGTGAGGAAGTGTACATCTTAAAGCATTGGGAACGTCTTCTATGATTCGTGCCCCTAGTATAGTGATCTTCCTTCAGTTGCTGGCGATCTCCAGCCAGTTTTTGTATTGTGTTGTCCATAATAGAGGTTTAATTTTAAAGTTCGATGCTAGTTTTAATTCTCTATCTGCGATTATCTAGTCATTTTGCTTTCCTTTGTCGACAGATTTTATCATATAACTTTATCTATTATCAATGAATGAATTGTTTTAGTCACGATATGACTATAATTTTAACTCACTCACTCACTCTACGTTTCGTATCATGACAGCACTGCAGAGTTCCGTACGCAGGAACCTTAGATTTATGCGTCCCTATCAGCAAAGCGTTTGTAACGTTACGACCTGTCGTAACGCTATATTTTATCATAGGTTAACGAATATCAGCGCTACGAACGCTTTGTGGATCGGGACCCTGGCTGGAATGTATTATTTGTCAGCCCTATACCCGTGCTCGATAGTATCAGCTGAGTGAAATCCTTCCAAGACCTGCATGATAGTTTCACATTAAACTGACATGCCGCTGTAAAACTGAAACATTGTTTAAAACAGTGGTAAACCCAATTCCCTCACACCTAAACTTCTATGTAACATTCGAAGACATCTCATGACATAGATCTGCTTTTATTAACTGTCTAAAAATTACCGATACTTAATGAGAACACTGTGTGAACTTCTAGAACACCTACACTGGTTCACATCACATAACACAAAATTTAGAAAGAGTACACATTTTCAGGGTCAAATATCTTAAGCACTTGCATAACATGTCATTACATAAGGAGTACCGATTTCGTTTTCTGTTATTCAATGTAAGTATGCCAGTCTGTGAAGAATACAAACACGTATCTTCAAGGTACGGATTTTTAAATAAATAACATAAATATTGAAATACATGTATAGGCAGAAAACCCTGAATATGGATGGATTTACTTTTTTGGTTGCGGTAAAGTACAAAGAATAACTCGGTGCATATCAATGTCCTCCGATTTACCAGTAAATGCACTTTTATTGTAATTGTCCGTTTCTTTATCTCACCTTATGGCGGATAAGTCCGTTTTCTCGATCGCTTCAGTCGGTTGATGAATTTGGTGATGAAATGTTTTCTTTAATGTTCAAGATGAAGATTATATTAACGTTAAGGCCTAAAGGGAGATATTGTTTCATATTGCCCAATAGTTCGCCATTCCGTATGTTTCTCCTGGAGAAAAAATGTCTATTTGGCCGTCCCAGCTATTTAGTTTGTTGCTGCCCTCAGCAATAGTCCAGCTTTATGAAAGCGAACAGTGAATAGTCAAATATGGATATGATAATCCTGTGATTGATATAATGAGCACCATTCCATAATATATGACTACACGATGATCAACCAGCTCAGCGAGACTGATCATTTGGTTCCATTAGTCGCCTCGTACGATTATTTCCTTTGGGTACAGGCGAGTACTTGATAAATGCTTATCTTTAAACATTTTAACGAACGTGAATATTTGGCAGATTAGTAATATATCAAATGTTAATTGTTATTCATCTCGTCCACATTTCTAACATCAATAATCTGTAAGCTGGTACAGAATTGTGCATCGTAGACACCACAATTGCACATTTGAAACGTTCCACGTGTTTGCAAGTGTGCTACTGGGACTACGTGCCAACACACTCTCATTGAAAGTTAACCACTTACCTGAAACTTTCTGCAAAGAAAAGTTCTGCTGTGCATTAAACTTGCTCTACTCTGCAATAAATTTAGATTCCCGGGATACAAATGGCGCCCGATGCTGATATTTTTATTGCTATGGATGTCCAACCTGCCTGGGATCCTACTGCCAGTGTGAAATATGGGTGTTCCTGCTCAAATCATTTGGCTTACTAAATCAACTCCTAGATTGACATTGATCTCAGGAAAATATTCAATAAAGCTGCAGGCATAGTTGACGAGGCAATTTTACGTTGCATTTACGACACCCATAAGTAGAAATGTCACTATGCCCTTCACTAACAAAGGGTGGGTCAGTCAACGCTTTTCAAGCGAAAATGTGAAACTGCAAATATTCGTTGAAGATTCTTACTGAACCTTCAGAACCTTCTCGAACATCACAGTATCCCAGGTATCAGAGTTTCGCTAAGTGAGTTTTCGTGCCGAAGAGATAATCACAAAAGCCAATTCTTCTATTAACAGCAGGCGGATATGCGGATCTGAGTCTTCATTTGCATGGCCGTGAACTTCAAAGTTGACTCTTTTGTCAACATCTAATTAGATAATTAAAGTATATGAGTAATGAATAACCTGGCGTCATGAAGCTGGAATATTGGGACAAAACAACATTTATTCCCTATTGATTAAAATGCTCACACAGTGGCTTTTTTAAATCGCCTCTGTGGAGAATCTGGAAGGATGGTAATCTGAATGATCGCAAAGTCTTGTTGCCATTGTTGTCAGCAGGTAGGTCATGCGTAGGTGTCAGTGTGATTTCACTTGCACGTGTTTCGTGTGCTGGAACTGTGTTAGGAGACTGAGACTGTCATATTGGTGCTCACCTAAGCGATGCTTAAAGTTATTTAAGTGCATTTGCACGTGGCCACCGTAAACATAATCTTATTTGTTCTATATTCTCTGAGCAGGATTACCTTTTCCAGGAGTAAACACGTTAAACAAGTGGGACATTTTCCGCTTGAAAATCGATTGCCATTGTAACTTTTGCTAGAAAAGCTCTTAAAATCTATACTCAAATATACAACCATATTAAAACAGTTTCCGTGAGGCTGTAATCAATACGACGCCATTCCACTTGTTTAAACATTGAAACGACAAAAGCCTTTCCATCTCCATAAAAGATCAAAGTCCATTGTACAATTCTGGCAATATCATGCGTATGTATTTGTTTCAGCAGTATTACAGCTGTACGATGTTGTTTGTAACAAATCGATTCTGGACCAGACAATCAAGTTATTGTCATCATGTGATACGATGACAGAGCATGTGTTCATGAATCACTGTAAACTAGTGATGATACCAGGTGTTCGCGAAAAGGTGAGCGTAGCCTGTCCCACCGGTGGCACCCGTCCTAAACATATGCACATTGTAGTCAGTTGTTCACCTGAAATTAATTCGGAAACATATGATGCAAGTCAAAATACGTAATTACATCGACATATTTTTGTCACTGTTGCATAATATTTGGAAGTTGCCTCCACATGTACTGAGGCCTTGAATGTTGTAACATTGATTGATGATGCTGGTATGATGCTCTTGGTAACGGGAACATGCTCGATTGTACCTCAAGCGTTGTGAAATGTAAACACCAAAGGCTGGAGCTTTTGGAATATTGCTCGACTTGAAAGGGAAATTGATTATTTGAGGCAGTCTCACTTGTCTCCTTAAATTCAAGTTCAGGCTGGTAAATGATTAACCAGAGAATGCATTGTGTAATACTTTTGAGAACACAATCATCTTATATACGTTTAGACAGTATAGTCGTTACACACACTTTAGAAGCAATGTTCTACCAAAAGCAAACGGAACAACCCCACCCACCCACAAAAAAACAAACAAACAAACAAACATCTCATAACTAATACAAACAAACCAGCAATGACTTGGATTCAGTGATTGTTCTGTCAAG